TGCCCTTTGTCTTCTTGGTTTTTGCCTCTGGTGGACTGCGGTTCTCCCCCTCCCCTCCTCTTAGCGTATAGTTTGCTCTGTTATTTCGTTTTTTTTTTTTTTTTTCTCCCGCGTCCCCCCCCATTTAAGTGATTTCCCTCCCCTCCTTAGATCTTCTACATTCAACTTTTGAACAAATTCTCTTTGATTATTTTACGATACCCTTACGATTCATCATGTCTAACGATCAATCCCTCATGGATCGCATTGAATTCCCTGAGATCCCCGAGGCGGCGATGAAGAAGATCGCCATCCTCGAGGAGCAGTTCTCCCGCGCAGAGGTTGAGCAGCGTACGTGGAATCCACAAGTTACAAAAGGAAAAAAAAAGAGGATGATATTTGCTAACATGTTACATTACAGTGCGTCACACCGCTAAGCTCATGGCTCCCCTGCTTGCTAAGCGCAGCGAGATCATCAACATGCCCGAGGTTCAGCCTGAGTTCTGGATGCGCGTGTTGGCCAGCGCTCCCCCCGAGATTGACGAGTACATCCTGCCCACCGACGCCGCCGCTCTCGGCGAGTCTCTCAAGAACCTGACCGTCGAGCGTTTCGAGCTCGATGCCCAGGGCAACGGCGAGCCCCGCAGCTTGCGTTTCACTTTCGAATTCAAGGGTGGCGATGAGAACAACTTCTTCACCAACGAGAAGCTCGTTAAGGAGTTCTACTGGCGCCAGGAGATCACTAAGAGCAAGTCTGGTCGCACTCGCACCTGGGAGGGTCTCGTCTCCGAGCCCGTGCGCATCAACTGGAAGAAGGATGCCGACCTGACCAAGGGTCTGCTCGATGCTGCCTGCGACCTCGCTGAGGCCGAGAAGAAGAAGGGTGGTGACCGCAAGAAGCTCCCCGAGTACGCCGCTCTGGTCAAGAAGGTCGAGGAGACCGAGGCTGAGGCTGCCAAGGCTGAGGAGGAGGATGACGACGAGGAGGACATGCCCAGCCCCGTTGGTGTCAGCTTCTTCGCTTTCTTCGGTTACCGCGGCCGTGACGTCTCCGCCGCCAAGTCCCAGGAATCCGCCAAGGAGATCGAAGCCCGCTGGGCTAAGGTCCAGAACGGCGAGGACATCAGCGAGGCCGGTGACTCTGACGATGAGGATGAGGAAGAAGATGATGGCTTTGAGGATGCTGAGATCTTCCCCGACGGTGATGATCTTGCCGTTGCCATCGCTGAGGACCTCTGGCCCGATGCGCTCAACTACTACAGTAAGGCGAGTGAACCATGCGGCGGCTGTGCCCACTGCTAATCATGATATCCTCCGCAGTCCAATCGTTCCAGGCCGGCGCCGAGCTCGAGGATATGGATCTCGAGATGGATGAGTTGGACGAGATGGATGAGGATGAAGAAAGTGAGTCGCGCCCGCGCAAGAAGGCTCGCAACTAAACAATTTGCACCCGAAACGCCACGACCCCCCTTTTGATGTTTTTTGCTTTTCCTAACCCCTGTTTTTATGTATTATCACAGTGCAATGAGGAGGATTAATAATAAGACGAGGACGAAAATGAGTGTTGCAATGCAAAATGAGGACCATGTATCTATTTTGCAAAAAAGTTAGCTTAACCCTATGATTCCCACACCATGTTCCGAAACATAGAAAGAGAAAGAGATTGAGAGAGAGGAAGAGTGTAGAGGTAGTTCCTTACCTTCGTTCTTGCGCACAATGTGTTTGATCCGCGACATGCCATTCGACAATTTGCCCCCTACTCGGTCTGCCAATGTGTCGACCTCGTCGATCATGACCGCCTGGTCTTCCAATTCCCTCCCCATGTCATCGGCCTGCTGTCGCAAGTTTCCCACGGTGCGGAACACCCCATCAAGCTGCTCATCTTGCTCGTGCATCAGTTCAGACTGCCGCTGCTGTTCCATGGAGGCGTAGTAATCATCGCCGCCGCGACCACGACCACGCTCCTCCTCCTCCAATGCGGCATCAAACTCAGTGGGATTGGGTAGCGCTTCGGGGGCGGAATTGGAAACAGTCTGTTGTAGCTCCTGGTGCATTTTCTCGACTTCATCTCCCACGTCGTCCACCAGTTTGCGGCGCCGCTGCACCTCTTCCAGTTCTAGGCCATAGCGATAAGGGTCTTGTTCGATTGCGCGCACACTTTCGACCAGGTCATTGACATCGGCGGTGAGCTCTGTCAAAGTGCTTTCTAATTCAGAGCGTGCTTGTTTCAGCTCAGGATTTGACGGGCTTTTGGCGAGAGACCGAATGCGGAGGTATGAGGAGAAGAGAGGACGACTGGTCTGTAGCGTTGAAATCACATCGCTATAATGACATTAGGGGAGACCGTATCAGTAACCGGAGGAAAACTCACGCTTGCACTTGAAGGAATGGGTCTGCGTTGTCCATGGCTGCGGTGAGTGAGGTTGTTGACAAGTCCGGGTGCTCTCCAGGTCCTAGACGTGGACCCGTGGACGGATCGGCGGAGCCCATGACTAATCGTTGCTCGGGTCCGCTCCAAATGTCCAGATGTCGACCTCGACTTCATGGACGCCATATGATCTTCGTACTCACATTTGGTCCAGAGGTCTAGATGGAATTCTCGAGGCCGCTAGAAGATCCCTTCTTTTACCATATGTGGTGGTTATATCACGATGATGGCTTTCACCTAATACTCCGAATTCCTATCGTAGATGTCTTGGGTTGGGCAAAGTAGCTGCTTCGTGATATGGATCGATCCTTACTCCGTATACTGCGATCTATTGACTGCATATTAATATTCATTCTTTCAGCCTTGAGCTTCATGTCTACGTTGGAATCCGCTTTGGAAATGTGATCATGTAGTATCGACCAATCAGAAGTTTCCCAAGATAGAGGCCGTCTATACTCCAGATTCCACCAGATCTCTCCTGTCACGCTCAAGATGGGCAAGCCCCTTCTACATGGAGTAAAATAGTCCGCCACGGGTACTGATGCCGACTCGGACCTCCTACCGAACATCTGGGTATATCAGGACGATCACCCCACCTCCAGCATTTACTCCGCAAACATTACTTGTACTCTGTACATGAATCTGCATCATGACTGAGGTGAGACAATATCAGCTTTCCCCAACGAGCCTCATTCCAAACTCGCCAAGACCATTGCTACACTACAAGAATGTCCTAGCCAGACCCAACCACTCTCACTGCGATCCAGCTGAGGTTTGGGACATGTTTACCCAGAATGGATGGGATGTTCAGTGGATCTTCCGATATGGTCCAACCCAACTATCGCACTACCACTCCAAGGCACATGAATGTATGGCAGTCCTTTCAGGAACCGCCCGTATCAGATTTGGTGTCGCCGACACCTCCGAGGATCTGATGAAAAATACCTATGGGTCATCGTGGGAGGATGGGGAAGTTGAATTGAACGGCGAGGCTGGCGATGTTTTTATCATCCCTGCGGGCGTGGCACACAAAACGTTCAACACTAAACCAGAAGCTGAATTCCAACTCTTAACGCCGGGCACCGGGCACGGCATCAAGGCCGACGATCCGAAGAAAGCGTTGGCTGATGTTCAGCTGTCCGGGTACACTATGATGGGGGCTTATAGTGGGGGTGAATGGGACTTTGTGAAAAGTGGAGGGAACTATGAGAAAGTTTGGTCTGTACCCAAACCGCAATATGATCCTGTGTTCGGGGACTCGGAGCGTGGTCTCTGTAAGACATGGCGTGGGAGTGTCAATACACAGTCTGTTCTCTGAAAATTGAAACTTGGTGGGTGGATCAACGTCGTGATGGGGTTAAACTGTAAGAATTTGACACTTACCAACTCAAATTTTTGTACTTTGAAACACAGATGTATGTTTTTGTCGGATTAACAGACCTGAGCATTGTATACTTCCCCGATCGGGACTAGCGGCGCTGCGATAACGAAGAAAAAAATCCCCGCGATAAGAATTGTCCCCCACATTCAGCCCTCTTTCTCCTTGACTTGTCTGGTGCTGGTGTCATTCCTTGCTCGAGTATGGCTCCTCCAAACCCCCTGCCACTCTCCGACGAGTGGAAAGACGCCGACGAATATGTCTCGGCCCTACTTTCATTTACGACCGAGTCTGTCATGTTCATGAACCTTTGCGGTGGTGTACATATCCTCGATTTCTTGACGCGCGATCCCGATCTGTACACGTCACTGCTGCCAGAAGACTGGTGTGCATTCTTTGAGCACCATGATATTCACAGCATCTTGCAGCTGCTTCTACGCGAAGACATTGGTCCGCTGTGCGAGCAGGCGGAAACAAACACAACCGACAGGTCGTGGAATGGAAGCGCATTCCCGCCTGTGTCCCTCCTTGAATACATTCGCAATATTCGCCGATTGAGCCTTCGTCGCGAATTCACACCTGATAAGAGTCAGAGTCTCCCAAGACATATTGTTGTGGGCATGAACAAAAAGAAGGCACATGAAGTTGAACAGTTCTCCCGATATGTCGCATCCTTGTCTGAGACAATCGAAGAAAGTCGCGGAGAGCCATTGACTCATATCGCTGATTTTGGATCTGGTCAAAACTATTTGGGGCGTACATTGGCCAGCGCACCCTATCATAAACATATCATCGCCATTGAGCGCAAGCACCAATATATCAGTGGAGCGAATCGTATGGATGTCCATGCCCGATTGGCAAAAGATGAAAAGAAAAAATTCATGCACAACGCGAAGCTTGCAAAGTTGAAGAAGCCGAAGAAGCAGAAAAACCAATGCGACGACTGTACAGATACCCCAGAGCTCGCATCACCGGAAAACCCCGATGTTTCAGAGATCAAGGTGCAGGCACAATCAGAACCAACTGAAACACCACAAGAAGAAGCGATTGGGCAAGTTGAAGATGACATCTTCTCCGATACTCTAGGTGGCATGAGCCTAGAAGCCAATGATATCCTCACGTCCGTCGAGCATAAGCCACCTGTCTTTAAGCCACCTCCCGAAGTTGACTCCAGAGGCACCGTGAGTTATATTGAGCATGAAATCAAGGACGGCTACTTGGAGCCGATCATTGAACACGTTGTGGACCCCAAGACACCGGTGGAATCTAGGACGGCCACGGACGAAGTCGTCACCCAGTCCGAGAACAAACCAAGTGACCCCCGGGTGATGGTTGTATCGCTACATTCATGTGGTAATCTCGTTCACCACGGAGTACGGTCATTGGTGCTCAATCCATCCGTCGTCGCCATTGCCATGATTGGTTGCTGTTACAACCTCCTCACCGAGAGACTTGGTCCAGCCACGTACAAAATCCCTATCCTCCGATCTTCTCACCCCCGGCTCAAACAAACCGGCTCTTCGTGGGACCCACATGGGTTCCCAATGTCTAAGCTCTACGAGGAATACGAAGCGAAGACCACTAAAGGTGTCAAGCTCAATATCACTGCCCGTGCCATGGCTGTACAAGCACCCTACAACTGGGGTCACGCGGACAGCGAAGGGTTCTTCACCCGCCACTTCTACCGTGCTCTCCTCCAGCGTGTTCTCCTTGACCATGGCATCATTCCCAAGGCAGATGTCCCTAAAGATCTTTATGCAGATGACCCCGAGAACCCCGAGTCTGGCATCGCATTGATTGTGGGATCTCTGCGCAAATCCGCATTTGTGTCTTTCACGTCTTACGTTCGCGCTGCAACAGTCAAGTTGAGCCAGGATCCGCTTCGTGGTGACGAGGTCAAGAAACGCGTTTGTACCATGACCGATGAAGAGCTGCAAGGCTATGAAACCGAATACCTCCCCACGCGAAAGAATCTTAGTATCGTGTGGGCCCTGATGGCTTTCAGCTCTCAGGTTGTCGAGGCTGCCATTGTCGTTGATCGCTGGCAGTTCCTGCGTGAGCATGATTCAGTGAAGGAGTGTTGGGTTGAGCCGGTGTTTGAGTATGGCCAAAGCCCTCGCAACCTGGCTGTCATTGGTATTAAAAAATGATCCCAGCAAGAGCCCGTGATCACCATGCACATATCATAGAGGGAAGTCATTTCTGGATATAAAGAAGTATATATTATAGACTTTGTGGCAGTCTGTTATTCAACACTCAGTACATAGCGGTCAGATGCACATGCGATAAATGCTCATAGGCTTCTCATTAGACGACGTATTTTCCCTGTCCCTCCAGCCCCAGAGGACTTGAGCCTGGAATTTCCCTCGGGTAGACTGAGTGTGCATCCGAGTCGGGGTGCTTGTTGATTCCATCTTTCTTCCCTCTCCAATCAATTATGCTCCAGCCAAATCGAGTACGAGCCTTCATCTTGTCAAAAAGCCAACCACCGAGTGCTGCACGCTTCAGCAACTTCACGGGCTGGTCTGCCGACCATTCCCTTCCAGAACTCAGAAGTACCCGGCGGCACCAACTCTTCAATCTCCAAGGAGAGAAGTGCATCGAAAGTCCAATCCTGGCACCTCCCAACGCCATTTCTCGGTGCGGGCTCTTTCTCAATAATGGTGATGGCTTGGCGTCGTTGCTCGGACGTCAGGTTTGCAATCTTGCACATTCCCACTGCTTCTTTATCGATGATCTTGGTTGCATATCGGGGGGCAAAACCGTACCATAGCTTGTTGGCGTCAATGACCTCGACTTGCAGAAGATCGCCGAACTCTAGGTTGCCGGGCTTGTTGATCATGAACCCCCAGTGGGATCGAAAGTTGGGGTTTGTGCCGGGTCCGAAGACCTCTATTGAAAGATCGTAGTTCATTTGACTGAGAAGTTGAGGGGATATGGAAGACTCTGAGATGAGCTTCCTTATACTCCAATATTGAATACGGTCTTGGCTCTGTGCGTTGGCCAGACGGCTGCAAAACAGGCGCAAGCTCCCGTGCCAATGACACCGGGAGAATACGCGCCTTCTTTTGGCGATAGAAATTGGAATTGGTCCCGATCTATAGGACTTTGTCTTTTATTCGTTTATCTTGGCGCTCAGCCGATCTCAACACTCCCCTCAGGAACACCCTGTCTACTCCGCAATCTACGTGCGAAGAACTGCATGACAGGCAGCATCTCCTCCCGGCTCGAGGGCATCCCGTCGCCTTTCCTCGCATACCGGCTGACCTCCACAAATTCAAAGACCTGTTTTGTCCGCCGGACGGCCTCGTCAGAGACTGCCACTGAGTCTCGCCCGGCAACCAGCAGCACAGGCGATCGGTTCTTGTCCCCAACCCGTGACCCTGACAGGGAATATGGTGCCCCGATCGAGATAACCCCGGAGAGAGGACCGGTCTCACGACCTTCCTTGGATTTCTGCGCCAGCTCTCGTGCCACCGCTAGCCCGGCCATACCTCCTTGTCCGAAGCCTAGGATCATGATCTCGCGTAGCGCGTAGCCGCACTTGCGGACCAGGGTATCCCGTACGACATCTGTTACCAATGTCTTGGTGGCGCGAGTGAGACCGGCGTCCATGTCTATTGCGCCGGTCGCGGAATCAAAAGAGATATCGTCGCCCCAGTGGAAGCCGCCCAGGTCAAAGGGGAGCGGGGCTGTGCCTTGTACTGTGACCACCGTCGTCTCTGGTAGATTGATGGCTTGGCCAAACTTTGTGAAGGCCGCAGCTGAATCACCGAGTCCATGTAGGAGGAGAAGAATATTTGGGGCTGGCGAGGCTGAGGCTGCGGGCGAGACGGTCACGGTAAGTTGGGACGGGAAGTCGCTTGGGGTGGGAGTTTTGGTGGGCATGGTGAGAGTGCCTGAGAGCTCGGCTGTTCTGTTGTCGATTCCATCCAAAGTCCCGAAAGTGGACTTGCGAGGGAAGCTAGAGCTCAGGAAATATTGTGTGGCTGACTGTGGCTGAGCAGGTCCAACTGGGCGCCTCAGCCCCACTTTTCTTCTTCGTGCTCCGTCATAAGGCAATTTGTCCACATCAATGACGATAAGTACTTCCTCGTATGTGGCTAATTAATGATCAATGCTCGAACCGCTTGTTGGTGTTGCGAGATCTTCGTTCTGTCATCCTTCAAGGCCAGTGACTATGTACGAAGTACTGAGTTCGTACTCGATACGGAGTAGAGAGTACCATATGCCGTAGTGTCTTGGTCTCCATTGTGTCATCCATATGGAGCTCTACGGAGTACTCGTAGATGCACTCCAGATATTGGAATCTGTACTCGTACTGTTAACTTAGGCAGACACATACTGTATGGGTAGGGGTATTCAGTACGGAGTATGGAGTAGATGGGGCGCTGTAGTATCCATTGCTATTTAAATCCTCCGCCACATGAGGCGCAGTACGTAATGATATCCTCCAATTGCACTCACGATACTCCGTCCGGATGTGCTCCGTAGAGAAGTTACAAGTGCTTCTGTTCACTCTTGGGTCTACTAGTACTCATCAGTCCACCGAGGGTTCACCGCCACTTGTTGACTTCGCCGAGACTCGACTCTCATAAGGCGCGGACAAGCCTTCGGAAAAAGTCTTGGCTCGGGTGCGCCGGCTATAAGGTCTTGGCGTTTCAACCGATTAATGCGTAATGAGGATACCGCTAGACTCCAACTCGGTTAGGTTCATCTGTGTTCTCTCCTTATTAGTGCATGCGTGGCGGAGTAGGGCTGACCCGACCCATTCGGGCCCATTCGATCGGCGCTTTATTGGACCTTGGTGGAACACGGCCTCGTAAGGTTCTACTCGTACATTAATTGACCTGGTACGAGGACAACACACATGAATACGAGTATGATGCATAGAAGAACTTAGGGAACTCGCCCCAGACTTCGGCTTGACTGCACAGCAAACAGGATTAGATAGACCTGGAAAAACATAGCTTGAAGTTGACCTCTCAGAGACCTCTAACTTGCGCAGTATACATACGAGTACATCCCCTGAACCAAATATCGAGTCCCGTCCAAGTAAGGAGTGCTCGTACTGATACGCTGTCCTCCGTACCGCACCGTCGGAGATCATGATACATATCGCTCCGTTACTGGAGTAGCGTTTCATCTGATCACCCAATGGTATTGCAAACTACCACCCTCGGCAGCCCCGATGATTTCATCTCAATAAGATTGTGCCCCTCTTCATCGCCCCGGATACCCAACAATAACAATGATCTGCTCCAGCCACAGCTCAATGCGTACAATGGGCTCGGCAAGTGCTCTCTCGACCGTGGTACAAGGACCTCTTGGAGGGGCAGACGACTACTCGTACACACCTTCACACTGCCCACAAATTAGATGGTGGGGCTAGACGAGCTGAGACAGCTGGAGAATCAACATACGTAGCCCTTCTCGAGTGTTCTGTAGCTATTCTTCGAAGTATAAGATCCCCTCATTATCCCCTCATCTTCCCTCTTTCATATCCATCACTACAAAACCCTCTTTCCCTCAAACTACCTTTCATATAAACATTCATTCACAATGGCTTGGGGCTGGCGTAAGTCAATCATCCGTTATGGATCATATCTATCCCCAGCCGCATGCATGCAGGAGGATTCCGTTCCGGCCTGCATAGCTGGCGATACCCTGTCGATTGACTATGATCCAAGCAATGCTAGTTCATGCTGACTTCCCACCAGACGAATCCGAGAAGGCTCACCGTGATGTCTACAACGGTGAGCAGCACCACGAGGGCAAGTTCTCCCACGAGTTCGCTGCCGGTGCCGCTTCCTTCGGTGCCATGAAGGCCTACGAGGACCACGAGCGCAAGAACGGTTTGTTTCACCACTTCCCATTTGGAGACAATTTCTAACCTGGTATTCGTACCATAGGCAAGCCTGTGAGCCACGCTTTCGCCAAGGAGCTCCTTGCCGGTATCGTCGGCGGCGAGATTGACAAGCTCGCCGAGACCAAGGGCATGGACTGGGTTGACCGTGAGAAGGCTCACCACCACGCCAAGGAGAACGCCAAGCACATGTACGAGGAGCGCTACGAGCGGGGCAACTACTAAATTGCCCGGATGCGATGAATGAACGATTTGCTACATATTATGACCCAAGAATTTGACTGAACAATCTTGATCCACTCGGAGTTTCTTTGAAGAAGCGGTGTAGGCCACGTAAGGTGTAGTCAGGGTGTGAGATATTCATTGGACGCCAAGTCTGATAACCACAAAGCACGTAGTATACAGTGCTGGCCGAGTATGCACGGTTCCGACGTACGTAGCCCTACGTACGCCGACGTCGCAGACACCCGGTTCCCGAAAGTAAATATGTCCGCTGGGACAGGGATACCTTCGCCCCGGATGTTTTTCTTGCATCGGGAGGACCAGTAATCACCATGAGAACCCGCTGGGCCACATTCCAGCTGCATTCCAGCGCTGTCGGAGCTTAGATAGGCCGTCAGCCAGCCCTGATATCAACGCTGCATGACGCGACAATCTGGCAATCTCGTAGTCTCAACCCCTGGAAGCACGATAGATCGGAAAAAAAAAGGGGGATGAGCAGATGTCAATAGCGCCCTATGCGAGTAGCCCAACGTACGTGTCCCAGTAGTTGAAGTCAGGAGATTCCTTAAAATGGCCTTGTGGGGGCAGATCGTCAAAGGGTTTTGACAGGACTGACCAATCAGCAACCAGAGCTGACCAATTAGGGGTGTAATGCCTTGAGAATCAGGCACCGACACCAGATGAGCTCATACACGTGCCAAAAGTATAGGTTCAGGCGTCGGGAACTTTTTTTTTAAGCATTTCGAGTCTGCATCGTTCGGATTCTGGTCTGCTGGTGGAAGGCATTTCAGATCTTAGGGCAAAAATAGGTCTTTCGCGGATCTCTCCCCGATCCTTTCATCTTTGATCCTTTCATCTTTGATCTTACCCTAGTGGCGTTGGTCAGCTGCCTTCAAGGTTTCGACCCCTCGCACAGTGTGTGAGTTTAAATGGCTTGAAGTCTCTAACTGCCATGACGGTTGTTCAGCATGAAATTTGCCAAGTACGTTATCCCTGCCAAATGTGACATACCGGTGGCTGACGCGATTCGCAGAGAGCTAGAGCAGGAGCTCGTGCCTGAGTGGCGGGCAAAGTATCTGGACTACAAGGTGAGTCCCAAGGTTTTTTTTTGCTGTATCACAATGCAGGATGTTGCGCTGATCTCCTTGCATTTAGACCGGGAAGAAGAAAGTCAAAGCCATCACGCGCGCCCTACAGAAGTCCCATCGCAGTCCCCGGATCCCATCCTATCGCCAGCCCACTCCGCAAAGTCGAGGCGCTGCTCAGTATAGCCTGACACCGTCCAACACAGACAAGCAACTAGATGCGACAGAGGGGAATGCCCCTGCCACGCCGCAAAGGGGCGCAGATACCCCGGTTCCGCGATCCACGCCGCAAAGAACTGAACGTCAACCCCTCCGAACGCCCGGGTCGCGATTCTCGGAAAATGTTGGGAGCTATGGGAGCATCCTAGCGACACCTCCCCAGCAACACCGCCGGGGAGAGTCCGATGCGGCATCCTTCGAATTGCCAGATCCAGCGCTGGACCCGGACGAGGACTACCTGCCCCCCGATGAATACGCCGACCGACCAAGGACTGTCCGGACACCGTCACCGGTGATGGATCGTCGTGTTGCGGGGGGCATGACTTCTTCGCCTTCGCAGCCACTGGAGTCGTCGGCTGGGCAGCGACCCCAACTTGAGCAACGGCCAAGCTACCAAAGTCCAATGAGCGGGTTGACAAAGGTCCCCTCGAGTAATCGGGGATCGCAGTTACTACGGCGCGTCTTCACTGCAGAGGGGGATCCTGGTGCCAAGCGATCGCAAGAGGCTGGCGCAGGTGCAGAAATCGAGAAACGACATGACGAGTTCTTTGAGTTTTTGGACACCGAGTTGGAGAAAATAGATACGTTCTATTCGACCAAAGAGCAGGAGGCTACGGAGAAACTCCGTGTCCTTCGCCAGCAGCTACATGTCATGCGAGACCAGCGCATCCAGGAGGTCCTCGCCTCGAAGAGAGCAGACAAACACGACAACGCAGATGGAAACCAGCGACCAAATGGGTTCGCTAAACTGAACAGTAATCTGAAAGATACAATTGTTGGCAAGAATCGCTTCGGTAAGAATTCGGAGGCACTCGCCCAGATGGCAACCCCAGGGATGCACCCACAGGATCGGGAATTCATTGTCAACCGGAGGGACTTCATGCGCCGACAGGAACCCCCGAGTCAGGAAGTGTCCTACCGCTCTGCCAAGCGCAAGCTCAAGCATGCGCTGCAAGAGTTTTATCGCGGCGTCGAATTGCTGAAGGGATATGCCTATCTGAATCGCACCGCATTCCGGAAAATCAACAAGAAATACGACAAAGCGGTCAATGCGCGCCCGCCACTGCGTTACATGTCGGACAAAGTGAACAAGGCGTCATTTGTGCAGAGTGAAGTGACTGAAAGTCTCATGATTGCAGTCGAAGATCTGTATGCTCGGTACTTCGAGCGCGGAAACCGTAAAATCGCCGTTTCGAAGCTTCGTCACACAATCAAAAAGTCCGGCGATTTCTCGCCTAACACCTTCCGTTCTGGTCTCTTATTGATGGGTGGTGTTTTGTTCTCTATCAAAGCCCTTGTTGACGCAAAGCAAAATCTCCGCTCAGGAACAGTTGCCGAACAAATTCAAACCAGCTATCTCCTGCAGGTTTGTTCCTCGCCGTCTCGCTCTCATCTATTGGCCTACTGACTTGAACAGATATACGGCGGATACTTCCTCATAGTGTTTCACGTCTTGTTATTCTGCCTGGATTGTATGATCTGGACGAAGTCCAAGATCAACCATGCGTTTGTTTTTGAATACGATGCCAGACACACTCTGGAGTGGCGTCAGCTGCTTGAGGTATACCGTTCTGACTCGATTTCTCTGGCGCTTGATATTGACATTCAATACAGATTCCCTCTTTCTTCCTTTTCCTCATGGGTCTTTTCATGTGGCTCAATTTCTCATGGTACAATCACATGTATATCTATTGGCCTGTTGTTCTCATTGGCTTGACGGTTGTCATAATCTTCCTGCCGGCCCGAGTATTACACCACAGGAGTCGCAAATGGTTTGCTTTCTCGAATGTGAGTTCTCAGTTATTCCTTTGTAAGGGAATTATCTCTAACCCTCACAGTGGCGCCTCTTGCTTGCGGGAATTTACCCCGTCGAGTTTCGTGACTTCTTCCTTGGCGACATGTACTGCTCCCAGACATATGCCATGGGCAATATCGAGCTCTTTTTCTGTCTATACGCCTCGCACTGGGGCTATCCCCCCAAGTGCAACTCCTCTCATTCTCGCCTCCTAGGTTTCTTTCAGTGCCTACCCTCTGTGTGGCGTGCCTTCCAGTGTATTCGCCGATACCTGGATACGCGCAACGCATTTCCTCACCTCCTCAACTTAGGCAAGTACTTATTCGGTGTGCTCTACTATGCCACGCTCAGCATGTATCGCATCGAGCTCTACACTCGCTTCCAGGCCGCTTTCATCACCTTCGCCCTTTTGAACGCCGTTTACACCTCCGTCTGGGATCTCATCATGGACTGGAGTTTAGGCAACCCTTATGCCAAAACACCCATGCTCCGTGAAGTCCTTGCCTTCCGTCGTGTGTGGGTCTACTACGCGGCCATGGTTCTTGATGTGGTTGTCCGCTTTAATTGGATCTTCTACGCCATTTTTATCACCAACATCCAGCAGTCTGCTCTGCTCAGCTTCATGATCGGTTTATCTGAAGTCTGTCGTCGTGGTGTCTGGTCTATATTCCGGGTGGAAAACGAACATTGTACCAACGTTCTCCTGTTCCGCGCCTCTCGAGATGTTCCCCTCCCCTATGACATTCCCACCGCAACTCCAGCTCTCGATGGGTCGCCAGAAGATGTCCAGCTTCAGGAACAACAGCAGCAGCAGCAACAGCAGCAACAGCAACAGGCCACCACGCCTTTCATGTCTCCCGATATTGAACAAGGCACTCCATCGGCGTCTAGTATGCGGGCTCGTCATCGTCGTCCTTCGGTGGGTATCAGTCGAGTCGGCACGATTGTTGCGTCGGCGCACGCCCAAGATTTCGAGCGGAGACGTCTACCAACGTACTTGTCCTCTGCGAGTGTTGGACGGGATATGGCACCCGGTGCAGAGGATAGCAGCGATGAAGAAGACGAAGGCGAGCTGAGTACCGACGAGGACTCTACCAATGGGCATGGTCGTCGGTCAAGACCCGACTCAGAGCGGAGGGATCAAATGGGCCGCATTGTTGAGTGAGGTCATCAAACACCATTGCGAGATATGGATCTGCCGGCTTGTATCAAACTTTGCTTAAATTATAGATATCTTGAGCGTCTTGCATATAAGGCTTATCTTGCTATGAATAAAGATTAATATCTGTTTCGGGTTTCCAGGGAATTTCCTTCCAAAGGCATCGGGAACACGCCCGGTGTCGTTCGTTTAGGCAGGTATCTCCCCGGGAAGCCATCCGCCTGGTACGTGCCCAGGTACGTGCGCCTTGCTGCGTAGGCTCGTTGCCACCGGCGAACTGCTCATGATCTGAGACTGCGCCATTTTTGAGTCGAAGATTCGGCGTCTCTCCGCTCCGGTTGCCTGACATGGTACTCTCAGCGTATAGGAAGTGTTGGCGCTTAGACCTGCGCCCGCCGGCTTCCCGCATCTGGACAGAGGTAAGCCTCTGAGACCCTAGTGAATGGTGTACTCGGGGATTGGCCAATGTTTTTGAATTGCCACCTGAAAGCTTACACCTGGGCAGCATTGATGTCACGATCTTCACTGTCAGTGATTTCATGGACGAGGACAATATGCCGCATGGAACGGCAGGCCATGTTCGACGTCATGGAGTTTGCGCATCTTGACATTCTGCATCTCATCATGCCTCTCTCTCTATTGCAGTCGTCTGGATTTGGCTTGAAGGTTGCATGAAGTCCATGTTAGGGCTAATATCCTAGTCCGGGCCGGGCCGATGTGAACCATCTCACGGGTTGTCTGTCTGGTTCTCTCCAAGGCTTTTCGATGGACGCAGTGGATGGTATAGTGCAAGCATGCATAAAGACAGATCAACGGATGCGGGAAATGAATTGAGTTAACATTCATGGAATCTCGCATAGTTATCCGAGCCACAGATATTTGAGTACTAGCCGAGCCGACAGGTTAGTACACGAGTCAGGATATTGACATTAGGTCTTTAGGTAATAGCAATTGGTTCGATTGCTAACGGAAGCAGATTGTGAAGATGCATACTAGTGACTAGCATCGCCTTGGCCGTTCGGTGTAAGTTTCTTGTTTGTTTGGACAACTTTAGAAACCGAGTCATGGAGTATCTGTGCTATCCGAGTGTCATATCCTATTCTGAATAGAGCGCCAATTGACGAGTTTGAGTAGATAGCACCAAGTACTACTTACTAAATATTCAACACAATAACCATATCTCAACAGTTCGCGTGGAAACCTTCCCGTCAACCAGACCGTGCCGATCTCGGAGAGAAACCGGGTATCGGGGGCTCGACCGGTATTCCCGGCTTCAGATCACTTTTTGTAATTTTTTATACCATTATGTATATGGAAAGAAGATAATGTATAAGTCTCTCAATTGCTTAGTTCTATTTCTGATTTATCTAATTATCTATGAGTTCATAGATATGAGGACGGAGATGTCCCTGCACAGTCATAAAAAATGATAGTCCGGCCCGGAACTTCTCCGGTAAAACTTCCTCAAAATGACCTCGAGGCCCCCATTTTCTATGTCATTTGAGGTCTCATTTTGATCCCCGTGAAAGCCAGGCGTTGATCGAGTGACGTTGGGTCTGGGTTGCAAAACCAGAATCCGTCACTCATCTCCGCGTCTCTCCCCGTGGGGTAGATAGACATGGAGAAGACGGAGCCATGCTGGCAAATTGTGCTCCACAACGTCTCCACGGATGACTGGCGTCACAGGCAGTTCAAAGCCAATGATCCCCGCCCATGAGGGGAGTGGTATTCTCCGGTGGAGACCACTCCGTACTCGTCACACAGCTGATTCGAAACCTGAAGCTAGTGCGAGGCATTTCGTAGAAACCCACTGTTGGGCGTGCCAGTGGCCTTTTGTGGACTGGTCGAGTCGATCTGCGGGTTTTCCATTAAAAGCCGGTGAGGTCCCTTCCTGTGGGATCCGAGTGACTCAGGGTTTGCCTGCCTATTTGGCTCTCTACGTACACAATTCCTATCCAGTATGACCAATATGAACGACATACCCGATTTGAAGAAAGAGAAGGATCTCGAGTGCCTGGATGATGTGCAACAAAGTGCCATCAGCAACCACGACGATGTTTTTGGAGAGATCTCTGAGGGTGGCCCCAACTACCGTAGTGTACGTCTCTTTACTGACCCTCCACCCATTGCACCCGGAATATATGGTTAATGTCCAAATAGGTAGGATGGTCGGGAACCGCCGTTCTCATGATGAAAAGCCAACTTGGACTGGGTGTCCTTTCCATTCCAAGTGCCTTTGATAAACTGGGCATCGTCCCAGGCATGATCTGTCTCATTGTCATTGCCATTATCACAACGTGGTCAGACTACATGGTGGGTGTCTTCAAGCTTAAGCACCGCTCGGTTTACAGTATCGATGATGCCGGTGGATTGATGTTCGGACCCATCGGACGAGAAGTCTTCGGCTTTGTGTTCTGCCTATGTAGGTTGAGCGAGATCAATGCATTTTTCAAGGCTAACAGCAAGATAGATTGGATTTTCGTGGCTGGCTCAGGAATGCTGAGTCTTTCTATCGCCTTCAATGCCGTTTCGAGCCATGCTACCTGTACAGCTGTTTATGTCGCTATTGCAGCCATTGCGGGCATTTCATTTGCGAGCATCCGGACGCTTGGTCGCATGAGCTGGCTCGCCTGGATCGGTCTGGTGGCTATCATCACTGCAGGTAAGGATTTCTTTTTCTGGATTCATGTTCGTGCAAAGCCTTACTCATCTCACTCTGCAGTTCTTATCGTGACCGTCGCCGTGGGTATACAAGGTCGACCTGCCTCTGCCCCTCAGGAAGGGGTATGGGTATCTGATTATAAGATCGTGGCAAACCCTTCGTTCGCCGAAGCCATCTCGGCTGTGTCCTCGCTCATCTTTGCCTACGCCGGAACACCAGCGTTCTTTGCCATCGTATCCGAGATGCGGGAGCCTCAATACTTTACTCGATCGCTGGTTATCTGCCAAAGTACAGTGACAGCTATCTACGTGTCTATCGGTTGTGTGATTTATTACTTTTGCGGCTCATATGTCGCATCTCCTGCCCTTGGCTCTGCCGGTCCCACCGTGAAGAAGGTCAGCTATGGCTTTGCCATTCCAGGACTCTTGGTCACCACGATGCTCTTTATTCATGTGAGTAATATCTCTCTGAAATTTCCTTGCCGAGGTTTTGATTCAAAGAATATCGACTAACATACCTATAGTTGCCCGGAAAATACATCTTTGTTCGCGTCCTGCGTGGATCGAAGCATCTCACCTCTAATAGCATTGTCCATTGGACCTCCTGGATCAGCTGCACTTTTGGAGTTGGCATTATCTCCTATATCGTTGCCAGTGCAATCCCCGTCTTCGATAGCCTTGTCTCCCTCGTTGGTGCTTTGCTTGGAACCTTCCTATCCTTCCAACCCATGGGCTGCATGTGGCTTTATGACAATTGGAGCAAGGGCAAAACAGAGCGGTCACCACGATGGATTGCCATGGTCTGCTGGAGTGTTTTTGTCATATCCATTGGTACTTTCATGATGGTTGCTGGTACATACGGATCAGTTGTCGGTATCATGGACAGCTACAAAGCTTCAGGTGGCTCTGGGGCATGGTCTTGTGCCGATAATTCCAACTCTTCATAGATTAGAGATGCACTAGATGCAGTTTTGGCTGCAGGAACAGCTGAATACGACATTCCAAAATGATGAACATCTTAAGACCAATGCTGTCCATAGTAAATTATTACAAAGTTTTGACCACTGTGTCTGGACTTCGAACCAAGATTGAGTCCCATCAATATGAGATTGTTGGTCCTTTTCTGACTAGGGCTATTTACCCCGGGTCGTTAACCCAAGTTGGATATTTTCAGCTTCACAAATGTCATCTAACCTCAGCTCAATCTGAACCGCCTTGCGAATGCCATATAAAAACAAAGTATCCCCATTAGAATATCTTTCTCATCTCAGGACAGCTCCTCTCTCCGCTGGTAAAATGGGGGGATTCTTGAGTTTGAAGTCATCGCAAATTTGCTCCATCGTGACAAACTCCACACCTTCATGCTGTTTGAAATACTCGATGAGTCTAGAAAACATCAGTGTCAAATATTCCCATCCTTTTTTTTATCGAAACGTACCTTTCATGCATTAGAAGAACATGTGGTCGCCCGGATACATCAGGGTGAATTGAGAAAGTGAAGACGAATTCATCGTACTCCCGATAAAAGTAGTCAAAATGATCCTTCCATATAGACTCCACGTCACGAGCGTTCATGAATCCATGGTTGTTGGGGGCACTTTTGATGAACATCATTGGAGGGAGATCATCGATGTACCAATTTCCGGGGATTTCGACAAGCCCAGATGGTTTACCTCTGACCGGTGGCTTCATCCATTCCTCGGCCTTCTTAGAGTAATCGATATTTGTCAACGTGTCTCCAATACGAGGATAGTAAGGCTGACAATCGTGGTGCTGAAGACTGTGATCGTATTCGATGCCATATTTCAAAAGTAGCTTAGTGCCTTCTGCACTAGTCTCCCACCTTGTTATTGAAAAAAAAAAAACAACAGTAAGTAAGTATCCATGATAACGGAAAAGTGTGTTTTCTCACCAGGGAGCAACGCTTCCCCTTGGGGGCTTGCCAGTAAACTCTGTAAGCTGTCGATACGTTTTATCCAAGACAGCCTCCTGTTGTTCAAGTGACATATCGGCCGGATTTTCATGAAGATACCCATGCAAGCCAATCTCATGCCCGGCATCTCTCACAGCTGCCATATCTTCCGGGAAAGTGTCCAGTGAGTGGCCAGGAATAAACCACGTGCACCTGATGTCGTACTTCGCGAACATTTTCAGAAGACGTTGAGTACCGATAGTACCAGCCCATATGCCTGTTAGGCGGTTAGACTCGCTATTCAGGTATTCCTCATGCATGCGATGTGTAAGACCAACCGCGACTAATGTCATTGGGCGAGTCCTCGCCTCCATATGAGCCAATCCACCCAGCAACTGCGTCGACGTCCACGCCGTAGCTGACGAGTACCCGCTTGGGAGGCATGCTTGAGAGATAGGTAGATGACAGAGTTCTTTGTAAATAAAATTGCTTGGAAACTTTAGAAGCTGCACATAGCTTGATACAGCAGCCTCGTGGTAGATATAGCATTTACTTCTACCTGTAAATTTCCAAAAGGGGAAATTTGGGGTTACCCCTCCCCCGCGTGGATCGTCATTTAGGGGTGAATGATGGGGTAGGATAACTTTATCGGTCTCCCAGTGTGTAGTTTGTTCAACATCTCACCTTATCCTGAAGTCTGTGTCATCCGCTATTGATAATAGAAATTCTTGATAAGCCATTCTTAGATTTTTGGAATAATCACAAAGCAGATCTCAACCAAAAGGATCTCTTCTTTTGGCTGAGAGCGTCGGAAAAAAAATGAATATATGCAGTTGATTTGGTATCATTGGCGATAAGCCCGATCGGTTGCATTACTTGAATTTCTCATGCATTAAGTTCTATTATATGATGTCGTGGTGCGTGTTGTGGCTATTTTCTCTGTAGTAAGGTATCTGTCTTGGTGGAGGGAAATAACAAGATTCCAAGGTTCTCAATTAACTTCCATTTTACTTACAATTTCTGGAAATCAGATGAGTTCAGGTAAAACTACCGAAGACCACCGGTTATATCAACTATACTTCCAGTCATGAAAGTACTATGGGGACTAAACAAGAACGCGACTACATCCGCCACCTCAGAAGCCTCACCCAATCGCTCAAGTGCCAAACTCTTCTTCAATCTTTGATTGTCCTCCTCCTTCCCAGAAGCATTCCCCGCCATCGTTGGCGTATCAATCGGGCCTGGTGCAACAGCGTTGACTCGAATCCCTTTAGGACCAAGTTCTAGTGCCAACGCTTTTGTAAACCCAACAATTGCAAACTTGGTTGCACAATATACTGAATATCCTGCATATCCCCGAAGCCCACACATGCTGGACACGTTGATAATAACGGAGCCTTCTTTCATCAATGGGACGCATGCACGACTCATATTGAACGTCCCCCGAAGATTCACATCCACCAATCGACTGAAATACTCGTCAGTTGTGTTGATGATTGGGATGTCAGTGGGATTGATTCCAGCGCAGTTGAACAAGTAGTCAAGCCTGTTCGTACCTGTGCGGCTTGGGATTGAATCGATTGCTGAGGCACATTGGGCGCTGCACGCTACATCCAATGGTATGTAAATATGTGCGGCAGAGGCAGGTGTTGCTTCAAGTTCTGTTTTGAGGTTCTCCAGTGATTCCATATTCAAGTCACACAGTATTAATGTGGCACCCAGGGCATTAAGCTTGAAAGAAGTGGCCTTTCTAATTGAATACGGATTAGCTAAATGCCAGTCATTTGACCTCTGGATCTGTAGATAGTCGGTGCTTACCCTATACCACTGCCAGCTCCAGTAATCAAGCCCAACTTTCCATGAGAGCTGTAAAACATGGTGGTTTTAAGTCAAAAAAAAAAAAAAAAAAAAAAAAAAAAAAAAAAAAAAAAAAAAAAAAAAAAAAAAAAAAAAAAAAAAAAAAAAAAAAAAAAAAAAAAAAAAAAAAAAAAAAAAAAAAAAAAAAAAAAATAAAAAAAAAAAAAAAAAAAAAAAAAAAAAAAAAAAAAAAAAAAAAAAAAAAAAAAAAAAAAAAATCAAGTCGTGATGGTCAATATAGATATTTCTTGTAGTCGGGGTCCACGAGTGAATTAAACACAGGCAAGCTTAGGGTTGAGATATCATTCAATCTTAGTTAGGCCAATCTAAGCATTCTCAAAGAAGGTTTTATACAGGGGATTAATACCATACTCGGCCTTATGTACTACCCCAATAACTGTGACCGATCGGAAGCAGAGGTCCACGGCAAGACTCTCTAATGCCAAATGTGGGGATCTCACCTTACCCCAAGCTCACCTGGGCACTCCAGAAAAGATAAGAAATTAAATCATGTTTGACCTATTCCTTACGTACCTGATACTGATTTCGATAGTCGCTCTCAAGGTCTCTCTGATACATGATATTCAACTTTGCCCTTTGTGATATTTGACACCTTGATATATGATACCCTCACCTTGTTAGGAGCTTTTGGCCATGGAATCTCACTTGCACCTCATTGGACCGTCCCAGCAACGCAAAACCGCCCGTAGGGAGCGAATTTGCGTATACTGTAATCGTCACTTTCGGCGCGAAGAACATTTGCAGCGACACCTGCTCACTCGTCAGCATCTTCAACCTTAGGAAATGATAAACGCTTATTCGTGTCCTGATAGATACGAAAGAGAAGCCATTCAAATGTCACTGCAGTGCCGCCTTTGCCCGTCGTGATCTTCTCAGGCGTCATGATCGGATTGCTCATCCTGAAGAACGTGTCTCTGGCTCACATGTAAAGAGGCATTGTCCCCCGACTCCCACAGCTACGACCGCGTTGTCTCAAAATGGACAAATTCCATCTCCATCTTCATCTTCCCTCACGCATCTTTCAGGTATGAACGATGAAGTAGAGACCTCTTTCGGGGACCTTCCATTCTCTCATGCTCCGTCAACAGGCCATAACCCTCGTATGCACCCTCTTCCTCCGGGCTTTTGGGCTTCGTGAAAGGTTTAACTAACTGCAAAAAAATGAAAAAATTAGAGACGTCATTAGAAGAATCAGGTCAAATTTACGATTTTATGCGCTTTCTCGATTCGGTGGGCATACCCTCGGAATGGGCACCTATAGATGTGATTGTACGTGATGCTTCACAACTGTCGAGTGACTCTGTCCTAGAGAATCGGATTCAAACACCAGCAAACGAGATCGATTATCAAACTTTTCACTCATGGCTACCGTCAAACCCACAAGCTGCTCAGCCTCTTACCACATTCCCAGACTTTGGTGAGTCCAAGGATTGGTGTAAAAATCAGGTGTGAAAAATCATACCAAGCTGACAAGCAACAGAGCCATCACAGACTAAGACCAAGCTTTCAAAATTTACAGTGACGGAAGGGCAACGGCTACATATGATCCAGAAGCTTGAAAGCTTCCGTTCCGAAGTACCGGATTTCTGTCTTCCCTCGCGACATATTCTGACTCGATACCTGGGCTCCTTTTTCGAGGGATTTCATAGCCATCTTTTGTTTATTCATATCCCAACCTTTGAACTCTCAGACCAGTCCATTGAATGTGCTTTGGCCATCATGGCCGCAGGAGCTCAATACCGGTTTGAGCACAATAATGCGAATCGACTTTTTCACGCTTCGCAATCTATCCTTATACGTCGGATCGCCCATTATAATTTTGACGACATAGCGAGCTCACTAAGTACCGACATCCCCCGGACAGCATACGCCACTGGGTCTCAAGCTGAAGCCGACGACGACAGTATACATATTGCACAATGCTTACTGATTCTGATGGGGTATGGTAGCTGGGGGGACAGCAGCCTTCTCAAAGCGGCCTTCCGTCTCCGCAGTTTACTCACACGATATCTTCGTATATGCGGAATGCGAGAGGTGCCCGTCAGGGGAAAGCTGTCATGGAATGAATGGATCAGGAACGAAACGGCGCGACGAACCAAACTTGTTTCTTTTTGTTTTCTCAACATCCACAGTGTGGCCTACAATGCTGCAGCCTCGATCCAGAGTAACGAGATATTCCTTCGTCTTCCATGTGCCACAAAAGAGTGGAATGCAACCTCGATGCAGGAATGGGAAGCGGCTCACAGTGGAATCGAAGCAGAGCAACTCGAATTTCCAGTTGTATTAGACCGTATGCTGCGAAGCTCCGACAAGGTCGTCACACTCAGCCCCATCCCTTCCCCCCTTGGGAGCTATGTCGTTCTGCAGGGCCTTATACAGCGGTGCTCCCTAGTGCGTGACCTCGCCCTGGGACTACCAAATGAGCCTTCCCATCTCCCCTCAGAAGAGTTAAATAAATTGGAGTGAGTATGTAAGATTGCTGGGCGATGATGCTCCCTTCGCAGAACTAACATGGTCCAGAGGTGCGCTTCGATCGTGGACTTTTATATGGCAACAAGCTCCGGAGTCAAGCCTCGACCCGCTGAATGAAAATGGGCCTATTGCTTTCACGTCCAGTTCCCTTCTTGGCCTTGCATATATTCGGCTTTCTCTCAACATAGGGCCATTTCGCAGGTTGGAAACGCGGGATCCTGCCATAATTGCCAATTTCTTGCTGAAATGCCCCTTACCGGAGCGGGGTCCTCGACTGACACCTGCACTCATATACGCTGTTCATGCCATGAACATTCCAGTCCGACTCGGTATCGACTTTCTTGCTCGCAGTCAGGCATTTTTCTTGAGTGTGCGATATTGCTTGGCAAGTATGGAATGTGCTGTTTTCCTCAGCAAGTGGCTGCTCACTCTTGTACCTTCAATGGCAGATCTCACTGGTACGTGCCCCCGATTTGCAATGTGCCTTTCTGGGCCTATAGGGCTCCAGGCAAGGTATTAATTACATAACAGAATTCGAAGTTCGCGTCCTGACTTGGATTAGAGACATCCTGCAGGAAGCAAATGACTCGATTGATGCAGAGGACGAGGAAAGGCCGCCATTTGTGAGACCGTTCGACATGAGTGTTGCCGTTCTTCGCCTTTGGGCGCGGTTCTTCCGTGGGAATTCCCAATGGCCGTTCATCAATATCATTGGGCTAGCACTACAGCGGTATTCCTCTCTGATATAGGATGATTTAATTAAACGTGGGCTCTGGCTTGGATCTTGGATTCAATGGAAACATATAATACCACGATATAGTAGTACTCCGTACAGTCAGAGAGCATCTTCCTTCTCTCCTTTCGAAAGTTTCTCTACCCCATAAAGCACGCCTCCGATTCTGCATGCCTTCCACTTGAGCAGTACTTAAGTACTAAGTAGCTCCAGTGCTACTTGAGTATGCCCCCAGCTTAGGTTCAACTATAGCTCGCCTAAATCAAAATTGAGATTTTAACAAGCTGCTCAAGTGGACCCATGAAGGACTTTCAGGGTTAACAGCTAAACCCCCAATATGCCAAGACCACCTCCACATATACGACTCACTTGTATACTAGTGACAATTGTGCTTAGAGGCCGTCTCCAAGGTTCCAAGGTTGGAGAAAGATTTCCAAGGTTGATTCTCACCAATGATTTAATCCATCACTTATCGCTCAGAGAAGCCGACATGGTTACAAGTGCACTAGTGAGTAGCCGACTTAAGAAGACCCCATACTTCAAGTACCTCCAACTGGAAGATTGTTCGTGGGTGTGGGGTGGTGCCCAGCAAATCGGAGTACCCGGGTCGTGCCGCATCGATATCTCCAACTTCAGAACCTTACCCACTGCATCTTTCCAAGCACTCTCCTTCAAATGTTATTGGTAGAATTGGCCCTCAAGATAACTATGAGCCACTTGAGCAGTCTCGATGGTTTCAAATCATTTGGGGATAATTGAACATGAAGGTATAGCGTCATGGCCAGATTTCCGACCTATATATCAGCCTGATCCATTAAAACTATTCATTCTCCACTGACAAGTCGGATCATCTGATCTACCTCGCTTTTTTCACTTGAGATTAGAAGCCTGAATTGCGAAAATGTCAACCGCAGCTTGCCAGTTCGTCTCCCATTTCGACGGTATTGATGGCTTGAAGAAGGTCGAAGCACAGGTTTCACCACCCGGGTCTGGCGAGGTTCTGGTAGAAATCCACAGCGTGTCTCTCAACTACCGTGATATGGAAGGTATGTTGTGCATTTGAATCAATTTATTTGAGAGTAACGGCGACTAAGTCACAAAAGTGATTCGTGGAGAATACAACCACCATCGGGCAATTGGCCAGGGCCCAAACATTGTACCCTGCTCAGACATGTGCGGTGTGGTGAAGAATGTAGGCCAAGATGTCACAAAGTGGAAGGTTGGAGATCGCGTTCTTTCAACATTCATCCCGGACCACCAAACTGGCCAACTCACCGAGTCAGCTGTCTCCAAGGGAGTTGGACTCCCATTGCCTGGGGTTCTCGCTACTCATCGCATATTCGCGGACTATGCCTTGATCAAGGCTCCTGAACACATGTCCGACCAGGAAGCAAGCACACTCACAATCGCCAGCGTTACGGCATGGATGGGAATCAATGGGATGCGCCCTCTGGGACAGAACGGCGGTCAAGATGAATATGTCTTACTCCAGGGTACTGGTGGTGTTGGAATTGCTGCTCTTCAAATTGCAAAGGCATCTGGCGCAAAAGGTGCATCACCACCCGTTTGGGCTTCGTGTTTGGGCTTCGTGAATGTTAGCTAACAGGTCCTAGTGATCACTACCTCTTCGTCTGACGAGAAGCTGGAGCTAGCCAAACAGCTTGGGGCAGACTTTCGAATCAACTATCGCAAAGGCCCCGGACTGGGAGAAGTCCGTTATGGATGTGACAAAGGGCCATGGTGCAGACATCATCTTAGAGACTGGTGGTGCCGAGACCATTCTCAAGAGTTTCCAGTGTGCTGCGTACGGCGGTCTTATAAATTGCATTGGATATACTTCCGGCAAAGGAAGCACCACTGGCGATCAACCGAATATCAATCTTTTGACTCTGAGCAAGACTCTCACTCTGAAGGGGATCATCAACGGCCCGACTGACCGATTCGAAGAGATGGTGAAATTCTACGAGAAGCATGAGATCCACCCGGTTGTCAATCGAGTGTTTACGTTTGATGAGGCCTAAGAGGCCTTCCAATTTCTGGAGAGCGGGGCTCACTTTGGAAAGGTGGTCATTCAGGTCCATCAATAGATTGCATCTGCAACCATACATTTTGATCCCATGGCTGGTGTCTGACCTCAATTCATTCATGTGTTCACCCCCAGTCAACGTGGCGTTGGCAGCACAGGCCAATGAAAAGCAACCTTGTACCATAGTATACTTGTACCATGTTGCAATTGAATTCAGTTTTAGACTAGAGATGCTGCTCTATATAAGAATCTTCCGAGTTCCCCCGTGCTCTTAGCCATATAGTGTGTGCAGTGCCCAGGTGGTTATATAGTTGAGAAACCAAACGCTAACCACAAAGGGAAAGGTGTGGGTCTATAATCCACTTGCTTATCACACGTGACAGCTCACATCATTACATTGTCTCCCTCCTGCGACTCCTCATCTCTCACCTTAACCCCGAGCAGAGATACCACTGATCATCAATTTGAACATGGCTTCAAACGCCAGATATGAGCCCGCTCCCCAGCGGGACTCCCTCGATGAGCCCGCTTTTCCCCAGGCCCCACCCTCCTACCAGGCTACAGCGGAGCCCGCGCCTCGAACCGAAGGCGACAATTTGCCCGATGACTTCAAAGTATGCTCTCGTTATTTCCAGGATATTACCTCCATTTCGGCGATGGATACTGACCGGGTCGCGTAGTTTGGAGGCACCGTAGCGGAGGGCACCATTGATATTCGGATGCAGTTCGTTCGCAAGGTCTACTCAATCTTGTATGCCCACAATCACCATACCCTTCAACACTGGGCTCTGACTGACACTGCTCTCCAGAACTGCCCAGCTTCTCCTCACAACCATCCTCAGTTCGATCTCCTTCCTGAGTCAGTCATACCGCGACTGGATCAGAGCGAACACCTGGCTGATGATAATCTCGGTGTTCGGCGCACTCGGCTTCATGCTTGCAACCTTTTGGAAGCGCAAGTCTTACCCAGCCAATCTATTGTTCCTATCCGGCTTTACCCTCCTCGAGGCATATTCCATCAGTGTGGTCGTGTCCTTCTATGAGGTCAGAGTGGTCGTGCAAGCGCTCATCCTGACCCTGGGAATATTTGTTGCCTTGACCCTTTTCGCCTGCCAGACTAAATATGACTTCACTGACTGGATGCCCTACTTGTTCGGCGCGTTATGGTTCATGATCCTTTTCGGATTTGTGGCCATGTTTGTCCCATTCGGCAGCACTGTCGAGATCATCTACGGGGTACTTGGCGCGCTGATCTTCTCAGGGTACATCCTTGTTGATACGCAGCTTATCATGCGACACTATCACGTCGAGGAGGAGATCGCTGCTTCAATTTCGCTTTATCTCGATGTGCTCAACCTGTTCATGTCGATCCTGCGCATCTTGAACGGCGCCAACAACAATAACTAATTGCGTATTCATCCAGGCGACAGAGGCATGAAAAATACAATCATTGATTTCTGAATCTACCATGGGGACTTATGGACAGAAGAGCAGTGGCAGGACAAGCACAGTTAGCTCACTCCCCATGGCTTCAGAAACAGCAATTAAAGGGTGTTGCTGTTCTGTCATTGCGCCTGATTTCATAACTCCGCTCCACACATTCGCTTTTCCTACATCGTCAACTTCTCCAAGCTTCCAACCATTTGGTTTCACCATACCAGTTTATGTTGTGTCTTAAAGTTTCGTAAGGGAGAACCAGAAATGCAATTACAGATGCCGCTTGTTTCCAAATGAACCAGTGTGATCGGAGTAAAATTAGCAATCGAATCAGTCAAATAGATACATGTCTCCAAACGCCTAACATTAAGCCCGAATGTGACGGGCCCTGACCCTGTAGAATGAAAACACCAGTTCCACACCCTGAAGCGGGCGGACTTGAAAATAATATGCACATTGAAATTGAGCTGATGTAAAAGATAAGAAAGACCTGGGTCCTCTAAGATGAGACAGGCTCAGATGTCGAACAAAATCAGGCTGAGCCTCAAGGGGGCAATGAAATAGCCCTGTCGAGGGAGAAATAGCTTCTTAATGTGAAGCTTTGAAGAACGTGTTCGTGATCAGACACACTATCATGACAAGGAAGCCATATGCAGCTAATGCCAGACTAAGGCGGCGGAGAATTGCCTTGCGCCAGTGGCGGGATCCACGGGGCAGGAGGCCACTCTCGGTCAAAGAACGGGCAAGAGAGCCCTCACCATCGTCTCCGTTATCTTCGTCAGACAGATCGTCGTCTAGCTCATCATCCTCTTTCAACAGACCTCGGTGTGTGGGTGAGTCCGGAGAGGAGATTTTGTAGTAAAACAGGCCGGGAAGGATGAAGCTGATGCTTGTGCTGCCAGTGCTACCGACGTAGGCTAGAACGGCTTCAAGGGATGACACGGTCATGGCAACGAGGTAGCTGAGAATAAGGATAGTGGTTGTAATGATGGAAAAGCGAAGGTCGCTCATCGGTTCTGGTGTGCGATTGCCCCGTGGCCCCAGAAGCGGGTGACGGTGAGGGGAGCCCTCTGTGCCACGAGGTTGAGGTTGAGGACGCCATTTTAGGACAGCGTCGACTGATGCACGACAAGGGTGGCACTGGAGCGGGTAGGAGAAGACTACAAGCATGACAATTGCGGCGCGCCCAATTGTTGCATACAAGCCAGGCGGATACATGCCAACAATATTGCCGCCGACTTTGTTGCCAAAGGACAGATATCCAGTGACAGCGACGAGGATATAAGTCGCCGCCGCACTTCCTGTGCTTGCCAAAACCACTGCAGTGGTGCGGAAATGGCTGTTGTTGGCAATTTCGTTGAGTATGGAGAACATCTGGGATGATTGTTAGACATGTAGGGGGCTCGACAAGTTTCAGAACATACATTTTGATGGCAAGTGAATGCAAAGACAATTACAGGCAGGCTGCTGAGAGTCGGAATTGGGCCAGCCCAATGGCCCACGCGGATAGGGCCCCGATCTTCCATTGTATCTCCCAGGACGAAATGGTACACAACCAAAACGACCAAATAGGCCATAGACACCAAGGCCGCGATGCTAGTGTACTTTAAGGAGTCCAATCGGCGTAGGTAGGAAAGAGGAATCACAATCAACCTTGAAAGTGTCAGCGTATAGTCCGGCTCGGTGCATTGTATAGAAACACTCACATAAAAGCCGTGACCCAGAAGTGACGATCTACCAGGAAGTCATAGCCTGGCTCGCTGCCAACAAAGCCCTGGACTACCCCCGGCATGAGATCTCCAATGATGATGAGATAGCTCACGCCAACTCCGAAACATTTAATTGCGATCGCGCCGTCGAAGACCACAGCGGCGTTGGGATATGTCAATTGTGACAAGGCAAAGAAAGAAGCGCTGCCTCGGTCAAGGTACTGAGCGCATAGTGATTGTAGATAGAGGCCGAATCCTGCGGTCATCCCAGACCATATAACAACACAGACGCCGAGAACGATTCCCATGCGTGAGATGGCTAGGGGCATTGCAAGCACACCGGCACCAACAACTAGTAAATAGATGTGTTAGTTGACTGAATATTCTGGCAGATCGCGTGTGCGCGTTGCACTCACTAGTATTCACCAAGTTGATGACGCTACTTGCCCAACTGGCCTCCCCCACAATGTCGCCAGCTCGCCTGCGCCCTGCTCGTCTAATTCACAAAGCCAAGTCAGCACTGTAATATCATAGTATACCTGTCCAGATCTGCAAACTTGCCTGCGTCCCTGTTGTCCGGGCGGACCAACCCCAATAGCAGCCTCCTCCATTTGGTTCACTTTGCAAACAGCGATTAACGGTCGATTGTGACAGGCACACCACACATAGCGAACACTACCAGCGGTAGGAATTAAAAGTGTATAGAGAGAAGGAGGGTAAAAGAAAAAAGAAGCCGGTTATAGAGAGAGATGAGGGAGTTCGAAGGGAAAGATGGCCTGAGAGCCCTTATCGATTACGATTAGCACATGACCGGTCCTCCCTCCGACTTGTTGCCTAATTCCCTAATTCCCTTTCACTTGGCACTTTACTCCTTACGGGGATTGTTACAATTTCATCCATTGGACTCTGGGCATTGATGATGAGGATGCAAATTCTTCAACTTCCAGGCATATGGCGTGACTACAGCTTTGGCAAGCCCCACCCCGTTCGCCCCATGTCTTGATAGCTCTCTTCCTCCGCAAGGCGATGCACAGAAGCAGTATTGCCAGGTCGATCCCCAGGGCCGGGGTCATTAAATTGACCCACAGCTCGAACAGTCTTGGAGCATTCCAAAATTGTTCCGCCCGATACCTTGTATAATGGTCCCCGACCCGACCGGTCCCCAATGACCTCGCTCACCTCGTTTTGCTGGACAAGTGCCAACATCACCTCCGCTACTTCTTCGGGAGTCACCCACACATCGGTTTTCGCATCAACCAAGCGCGTTTTCTCGGGATTGTCAGTCCAGAGTGGTGTTTTGATGACACCTGGAGCTACGGCGGTCACTCGGATCCCCAGCCTCTGATCGAGAGGACTAAGCGATCGCACCAGGCCATTGATGGCATGTTTGGTGGCGCAGTAGATAGGCGCTGTGAGGTTGGCATTCTGGCCCGCGATGCTGGAGATGTGAACGATGTGCTTGGGGCGGTTGCTGTCACGATGCTTGAGGAAATACGCAATAGCGAGCTGCGTAGTTCGGATCGGGTGAGTGACATTGATGTCGACTAAAGCATATCGGCCACTCCCAGGCAAATCCTTGCTTTTCTCCGAACCAGGTGGGTGCCAGAAATTGGACCAATACTGCATCGCAACAGGGTCAGGATCTTGTAGGGTTTCTATATCTTCTAAATCTTACCGGCTCGTAGACTCCAGCCCCTGGGCACACAATGTCAATGGATCCGAATTCCTTTTCTGCGACTTCAAACATCCGCTCAAGCTGGATCCAGTGAATCACGTTGGTCTCTTGGAACACAATCCGCCCAGGCCCTTTCTTGTATTTATCGGCTAGTACTTGCGCTTCGGGGCGCAAGGCCAAGTCGGCGATCAGGACATTGCATCCGTTTTCCACCAACAATTTCGCGAAGCTCAGGTTGATCCCTTAGGGCAATCAGCGTGCAATCTTTCGGGGATGGGTGGGGGGGGGGGGACCTACCAGAGCCAGCTCCGGTCACTATGGCGGATTTGCCTTTGACAGAATTGATTGTGAGGGGCATTTTGGGAGTAACGCACTGCACTTGCAAGAACACCAAGGGCCCTACGATCTTTTATGCAACCTGTGGACCTTGTGGGAACTGTTTTTATTGCAGCGCGTATTGTAGCCATTTCCAGAGCTTGCGGGGTACGGAGATAGAGAGGCAAGTGAACCGAGGCCGGTGGAAACTTGCGTCTCCAAATGGAGTACTGGCTACCTGTAGGTACCTCCAGGGCTAGGTACATACTCGAGGTGCATGTATACAGGTGTACGGGATTGGGTCTACTAAATAGTGGAGTTAATAATAGAAAGATGCATCATTCCTGCTGGAATGATTTGTGATGTATTAGTACTTCTAAAAGTTGTAGTGCCAATTGAGCTATGCAGTACAAGTACGGAGTATAGAGTACAATATCCTCAAGAGATGGAACTTTGGCCGTATAGGGCTCCACGAGAGCAAGTCTGTCAAGCCCATTTCGTAGGTGAGATATCATGGACTCCAGGTTCATCCAGCGGCGATTGACAGCTACGTACATACTCGGGTACCTGGGACGTCTCGCCTTGTATACCGTATGCGGCGTGCCCTACACTCGCAGTCGCCTGCGCAGTGATACTGCATGCCCATGGGGATAGACACAGTGTGATGGTTTGACAGTCATAAGCATCAGCACATATCGAAGATCGACGATTTTCAGTATTTAACTAAAGCTGTTAAAAGCCGCCAAATCCTGGGGAAAGGGTTGAACGGTTGGAATTGTGCCGACCCTGATGTCATGTCGAAAGCTGGTCGGGGCATTGTCCCTATCAGGCAACCTTGCCTCCCGGTGGCGGCTCGGCTACCTAATATGTCAGGCCTTCCGCCTCCGAATACTTCCCCAGATCAATACTCATGTACAGAGAGAGTACTTAGTCTAAAGTATTTATATCACGGCTGTTCCCCGCAAATTTATCCCATCCCAAATTACACATCATGTCCTTATCCAAATTCATTTCAAAATCCGCCGTGCGGGCGGCATCAACTTCAGCCCAGACAACCAAAGCCGCGGGTGATATCTCTTCGGTCTTTCCTAGCTTGAGACCTGACTATAAACCCGAACCCCTCCCTGCACGCTTTCAGGAGCTGAAACGGGGGATCTTTGAAAAAAATAAAGACGCCCTAACACGAAGTTGGGAACGTTTGCTCCCGAGCTTGGAGGAAGAAGTGCGGCAGATCAAGGCTCAAGGCAGCGATGTAGGTCAAGAAATTGCAACTCGTTGTGGAGCAGAAAATTGACTTGGTCATAGATTATTCCTTCCATTGAATATGCGGATGTGGTGTCCGGAAAGGTCTCCGAGGCAGCCCTGAAAGAGATCCGCCACCGAGGTAGCGTCGTAGTGCGCAACGTGATCCCTCAAGACCAGGCATTGGAGTACAAGCAGCGAATCCGCGACTATGTGACTGCCAACAAAGAGCGCGTAAAGGCCTTCCCCGCTGATGCTCCGGCCGTCTACGAGCTCTACTGGACTCCCTCGCAGGCAGAGGCTCGTGGTCATGGCAACATGCTCAATACGCAACGCTTCATCCAACAGCTGTGGCACTCATCAGACCCAAACAGCAAGATCTCAACTTCTCATCCTCTTACATACGGGGATCGTCTGCGAATCCGTGATCCGGGTGATTCAAAGTTCACTCTCGGTCCGCATATTGACGGTGGCTCCCTCGAGCGCTGGGAGGACCCAGAGTACGCCCGAGTCTACACCAAAATTTTGGAGGGCAACTGGGAGCAGTATGACGCATGGGATGCCCGGCACCGTCTAACTGCCAACATGGATCTGTACAACGGCGCTGGCGCTTGCTCGATGTTACGCTTTTTCCAGGCCTGGCTCTCCATGTCCCACACTAAGCCTGGCGAAGGCTCTCTGCATGTCTGCCCAATGATCAACCACAGCACAGCATACACCATCCTGCGACCCTTCTTTGAGACCGAGGGGTCCAAGCCTCTGTTGGACGCCACATTCCCGGGCTCCGTGCCTGGTGCCTGCCAAGAGTACAACCCGGTCACACATCCCCATCTCGACCTTGAGTCAACAATGGTCTCGGTACCGGAAGTGGCCCCCGGTGACTTTGTGGCGTGGCACTGTGATTCTCTGCATTCTGTTGACAAAGAACACCGCGGGAAGCAGGACTCTAGTGTCATGTATATCCCTGCGACTCCGCTGTGCGACATGAACGTCGACTACCTCCTGAAACAGCGCCGGGCTGCCCAGAGCTATTCTCCTCCGTGGGACTTCCCCGGTGCGGGTGGGCCCGGCGAGTCCGGATTCAAGGGTGCTATGGATTGGTCTTCGCTGAACACCCAGGGTCAGCGTGCCATGGGCATGGGCAGCACACCTTGGGAGATCACTGCTGCCATGAGTGAAGGTGAAAAAGAAGCTATTCGGTCGGCTAACAAGGCCTGTTTCGATGTGTAAGCTCCTGGTAGAGCTTTTAGGCATTCTGTACAACAAAATTGCATCAGTGGAAATGGGGTAACATTTGCACTCACACTATTTCAAGATTTCTTGCACTTCACGATGATTTGAATTTTAGAATAATCCTACTGTATCTTGTACGTGTGTTCATGAATGTTGTTGTAACAGCACTAGTTAGTCACTCCGGACGGAGGACGGAGGACGGAGTACGAGTAGCGATCTAGCCCTGGAGATCTCCAACACGAGATCCACAAACATGATTGGCCCATCGAATTAATTCCTAAAATTGGGTTCGCGGGCATACAGTAGGGGTGCTGTTGGTGTTTACATTCTTGACTGTCGTTTTCTTAAAATATATTCATACTGTGTCTGACATCAAAGAAAGCACTCTTCTCTCTGCATAAGTGGAAAAAGCAGTAAACAGTAGTGACTCCGTACAAACTACAATTACGAGGTGATATCAACAGAAAGAGGGGCAAACTCACACCAATTCGATGAGCGAATGGGAACCCATCGGTCATGGCGTGATTCGGCTGGTCTTAGGCGGTTCTTCTCCATACTCATAGTGCACCGTACAGTTAGATGAGTGCTTAAGGGGCTAGCTGAAAAGTGGCACTGAGATGACCCCACTAGGCAATCACTAGCGAACAAATGAGTACGAGAGACTCACTAGTTCTCCTCGTGCTAACTCATCCGTACGATCTACTACTGATTATTGGTTCCCTATGTCGCTCACTAGTGCAGAGTACTTCACAAGGTCGATTTGGTCGATTTAGTACATTTATAAATAGGCGTCTCCTGAGTCCTGCCAGCGCTCCAAGCCATTATCACTTTCCCTGTGTTACTCTCATTGTACTTTCTCTCAACTTCCAATCCTTCTACGCCTTGATACACCATGTCCTACCGGAACGACTCGGATAACTACGGCGGTGGAAACCAAAGCTCTGGCTTTGGTGGAAACGACTCCTATGGGAGCTCAGACCGCCGTGGTAACAACACCAGTTCTGAGCGCAACCATTCCAGCTATAGCAGCAGCAACAACAATGAGAATAGTTACGACAGTGGCAACAAGTCTAGCTACGACAATGACACCAAGTCCAGCTACGGAGGCAACAACAAGTCTAGCTACGACAGTGGCAACAATTCTAGCTACGACAATGACACCAAGTCCAGCTACGGAGGCAACAACAAGTCTAGCTACGACAATGACACCAAGTCCAGCTACGGAGGCAACAACAAGTCTAGCTACGACAATGACATCAAGTCCAGCTACGGCAATGACAACCAGTCTAGCTATGGCAGCAGCAACAAGAACGAGAACAGCTACGGGAATGACAACAAGTCCAGCTACGACAACGACGCCAAGTCTAGCTACGGCAAGGACAGCAAGGACAGCTACGGCAGTGGCAACAAATCCAGCTATGGCAGCAACAACAAGAACGAGGATAGCTACGGCAGTGGCAACAAGTCCAGCTACGGCAATGACAACCAGTCTAGCTATGGCAGCAGCAACAAGAACGAGAACAGCTACGGCGGTGGCAACAAGTCCAGCTACGACAATGACAACCAGTCTAGCTATGGCAGCAGCAACAAGAACGAGGATAGCTACGGTAGTGGCAACAAGTCCAGCTACGACAACGACGCCAAGTCTAGCTACGGCAAGGACAGCAAGGACAGCTACGGCAGTGGCAACCAGTCCAGCTATGGCAGCAACAACAAGAACGAGAACAGCTACGGCGGTGGCAACAAGTCCAGCTACGACAACGACACCAAGTCTAGCTACGGCAAGGACAGCAAGGACAGCTACGGCAGTGGCAACCAGTCCAGCTATGGCAGCAGCAACAAGAACGAGGATAGCTACGGTAGTGGCAACAAGTCCAGCTATGGCAGCAGCAACAAGAACGAGAACAGCTACGGGAATGACAACAAGTCTAGCTACGGCAACGATAGCAAATCCAACTACGGCAACGATACCAAATCTAGTTATGGCAAGGACAGCAAGGACAGCTACGGTAGCAACAATGATAACTATGGCAGTCGGTCAAGTGGCCAGGGTCGTGGTGACTCGGATCGCTATGGCAATTAGCGCGATAACCTTTGAAGCCAGGGCTCTGACCTCGCTCAGTCTGTGCAAGCACTGGACATTGTGGGCGAAGCTATAGGTTTGTCGTCCTACCTTGCTTCAAAACACTAGAGTGACAAGGCTAACACTTTCCCGTATGATGGAAGGTCCCCAATTTCGATAATTACCGAACTGAGAAGTTGAATCCTTCGAATTGATCAGGGTTGTCGTGGCTAATGGCAATTTGGAAGTGAGATGAGCTGTCCCTGGGGCTATTCCCTTCATGGGCTTGTATCTAGGCTATATTTGTCGATTGTTTCTAAAGTTGCACATGTGTGCACACAGTACACTTTTCAAGTCTCTCATATCTCTCTGGCTCTATCTATCTATATAGATATAGATTCGACCACGAGGTTGTTCTAATGTTGGAAATATACTTACCAAAGCTCCCCCTGGAGCCAGGCCCCACCTGTTCAAGTGCTCGTGGGAGCCTAGACGGGTGCTCACAAGTGGTAGACTTGGAAATAGTCCAACTTTAGAAGACATAGTACCTAGGTAGACATATACATACTACGTAGCTGCCCCTGTCTTCTAGGGTTTGGTTTCTACTTAGAGGCAAAGAAATAGATATCAATACATACTTAAGTAGAAGAGCAAATACTTAAGTATAGTAGTACTTAAGTAATGCTCTTTCTAAAGTTAGAGTATTTGTTAAAGAGTTTATCGAAAAATTATCAATTTGTTTTTGAACAAAGAAACATATACTTAAGTATCAATGCATGGGGCGACAAGTATAGCAATGCTCTCTAGACTGCTTCGAAGAAAGATTATCAACCAATTGTCAGTCTAATTTTCAACAAAGAGACAAGAATCAATATATAAAATAGCGTATATAGTAATATTCTTCACCTGCGCAGACTGTCTCACAAGAAGGTCATCAAGAGATTGCAAAGCTGCTCTTAGAAAAATGAGGCAATATAAATGTCCAGGGGGCCCTTTTAGAAACGTTCTCCAGACTGCTTCACAAGAAGGCTATCAGAGATTGTCAACCTACTCTTAGACAAGAGAGTAAATGTCAGCACGCAGGGCGGCTTCTATGGAAACGCCCTTCAGGCTGCCTCTCAGAAAGGCTGTCAGGATGTTGTCAATCTTTTTCAACGAAGAGACGGTATTATATCGTCTTCACAGAAGTCCTGCTCTGTGACTGAGAAACCTAGTAGGTGAATTTTCTCTCAAAGACTTCAAAACTTCCGATCAAACTTTGTAATATCTTCAATCACTTCCACCATAGTGTTTATCTTAACCTCGACTTTATGCCTCATCACGCTCATCACCTCTTAGGTTTCAGCTCTGGCTACTCAGATACTAAGACTCCACAAATACCGCTCTTTCCAGGCAATAGGCCCAATTTGTCCCAAAACAAAAGATGATGTTGAATTCAATAGTCAAATGGAAGACTGTCACATTAGGGTCCGCAAACACGCTGGTATTTAATCATTGCCTTCTATCTATACGATACCTAAACCCCGTCGGGAAGATCAGTCTACCTAAGGAAATGTAGAGTAGTACGGATTTGATCATATATACCAGAAAACCCCTGCCAGTGGATCTTGATCAGGGCGGATCATACTTCTGCTCAATGAGCATGATCGTGGTTCCTCTTTTCCTCTATCTCTGGGGATGTCCCTATCGGTGATTTTCCAACGCCAAATACGCTAATGCTTTCGTCTCAATGGCGGTCCGAGTTCCGTTTTTGGTTTACATCATCGGCAAGGTGGCGGGCCGAGTTCTTTTTTCAGACAACTACTGTCGACTAACATCACGACTAACATCATGAAAGGTAGATTATTAAACCACCCAAATAGCCTATTGCTTTCAAAGCCCACGGTGACATGACTTCATCTCAGCTGACCCGAAGAACCCTCAATTTGTAATCATAAAATATATAATTCCCGGGTTCGGTGGTAAGACGAATCCTCTCTCAACTTGACTTACCTTGGCCGTTTTGAAACAGCCTTGACGACCGATCAAAAATGAAGCAGTGGATTCTCGAAGGGATTCGTGGAGCCGAGTCCTTGCAGTTGAAAGATGTTCCAGATCCTGAACCAGGTGACTACGAAGTTTTGGTGAAGTTTCGCACTGCTTCTCTCAATTTCAGAGATATCATGATTTCAAAGGTAAGGCCGTATTCATACGCCCCTCGGGAACCCTGACAGAGTGCCAAGCGGATTCTGATTCTAGAATAGGGAGAATACTATTCAAAAACCAAGGATGGAGTGGTCCCAGGGTTGGTTTCCTTGCTTTATGCTGTCGAGCATTTGACTTTCGAGTTGCTAACTAACTATGGCAAGCTCCGATGCTGCTGGAGAAATTGTTAAAGTTGGACCGAAAGTGACCAGATTCACTATTGGCAAACGCACTTCGCCTATCTTCCATTTAACCCATCTTTATGGACCAGTGAATGTGGAAGATAATCATTATCAGCTGGGTGGAACGCATGACGGTGTGTTTCGAGAATACTGTTGTGTCTTGAGGTCATAAAGCGTTCATTTTCTAAAACTAGCTAGGGGGCCTTCTAAGAGGCAGTTGCCGGATCACCTGACTAGCAGGGGAGTTACCTAACAAATACGGTGTCTTCAACGAGCAAGCTTGCGTGGAGTTCCCGTCCAATCTCGATTACCGCGAAGCTGCAACGCTACCCTGCGCTGCCTTGACGGCTTGGAATGCGCTCTATGGTGGTCCTAGAGTGCTGAAGCCTGGTGAAGTTGTTCTAACACAGGGCACAGGTGGCGTTAGCATTTTTGCTCTGCAATTTGCGAAGATTGGCGGAGCCCATGTTATTTCGACAACTAGCAGCGAGACAAAGTCACGTACGTTGCGTACTCATGGCGCGGACGCTGTTATAAACTATGCAGAAGATAGCGAATGGGGCCAGACAGCAAAACTATTATCGCCCAAGCAGAAAGGAGTTGATTTTGTGGTCGAGATTGCCAACACTATGGCTCAATCTAGTCGGGCTGTGGCTATCGATGGACAGATTGCAACCATTGGAAGAAGAGCAGGTTCTGGAAATGCTGGTAACGGCTCTCACAGCACAGTGCTCGCTACCGTCCGAAGAATTCTAGTGGGTAGTAGGGAGCTTCAAGAGGGCATGAACGCTGCTATTGAAGTCAACAATCTGAAGCCAGAGATTGACAAGCGTTCTTTCAACTTCGATGATCTCCCAAAGGCATACACGTTTTTTGAAAAGGGAAGCCATTGTGGAAAGGTGGTTGTGGATTACAATTGATTCATTACTGGTATAGTAGTATAGTAACTCAAGCAATAACTGGCCTTCATTCTGTTTCCAATACTTACGATCGGACATGTGTTTTAGAACCAACTTACGCCGTTCAAATGGTACTGTGAGCTCCTGTACTCAGTTTTGAATATCAGGAAGAGTACTTAAACACCATCTCACGATTGTTTCGCAAGTGCCGAGTAGGGCCTTGATGGTCCACCAACTTTAGAAATCATACTTAACCTATGTTGGCATTTTCTAGAAGTGCAGTCGTACATCTCAACACTCTGTACTTGAATAATCCACTACTTAAGTACCTCAAATATCTGTAGTACAAGTCAGCAACATTCGAAATCAATTCAAAAATTCAACTGCAACCACGTTCAAAGCACTAACATAGTGGATGCAAGACAAATAGTATTCCAATCAAGAATCGATTTTATTAGGCGATGAACACAAAAAAATAACTGATAGCACAAGTATGTTGGTAACGGCGTATTCAAGTACTAGGTTGAGGGCCGATGGGGGGAGACCGAGCAGCTTGAGGTGCAGGTGTTGGAGACAAGCAAGACCAAGCTTGGCGAGGGCCATCCCAATACGCTGACCAGTATAGCTAATCTTGCTTTCACTTGGAAATCTTCAGCTAACGTCTACTTATTCAAGTATTGTCCTTGAGCTTTAGAAGTCCATATGCCCACTTGAGCACGAGGGTGAGAGGGTAAGATTGTATATATTTTGTCCAGGCCACACCTATCGATGCCTACCTCAAAGCATTGCTGGTTGCAGCATTTGCCCAAAGCTACAATTGACCAAGTAGTCATTGCTTTGAAGATTCTTTCAAAAGACAACCGACATTCGACAGAAGATGGTATTCACGTCCCGAAGAGAATATTAATTTGATGAATCGGAGTAGTACTTGGCACCTTGCTCTCTTCGTACGGGGAACAGCAGATGCTTATCACCGCCCGGGTTCCCGCTAACTGTATTGACATCTAGTAACCTAGCATCTCTCCCTCCACTCTTCAATGCTTCAATAAGAGCAACTCATAATGCGGCTCAAGGCGCTCCTTTTCGCCGCGTGCCTATCGCCCGCGGTGGCCATTTACTCGGACGAGGTCAACCACGTTGACTTCCATCACGCTCTCCTCGGTACTCCCTCGCCTGATTCGACCTTCTTCCTCAAGCCATCCACTGCCTCAAATGCCTCGCTTCTCTATACTTTATCAGACAAGCTGCTGGTTGGTGCAGTAAACCCCCGCGATGGTGCGCTGGTCTGGCGCCAGAATCTCTCGCGGTCGGCGGACTCTCCTGCCCGCGGGGCGGGCCTCTTGCGCGGATTGGATGGCAACGATGCCCTGGTCGGCGCAGCCGGAAACTGTATATCGTCATGGAGTGCCCAGGATGGCAAGTTGGGCTGGGAGAAGCGATTCGCCGAAGGAGTGGTCGCAGATATCGAGCTTTTGGAGCTTGAGGATGCTACCGCGACCTCCGGCGTCAGAGATACCATCGCAGTAGTTGGCAGCGATGGGGTCGGAATTGTCAGACGGCTGGAAGGTGCCACTGGCAAAACTATCTGGGAGTACAAGGATACCAGGTAAGATTTGCATTTGGATGTGCTATTGTGCCCAAGCTAATGGGTGCTTCGCAGTGGTGATGTTCCTTTCCAGGTGTCATCTTCCTCCACAGAAGTCTTCTACATTTCCCTCCAGTCAGCGATGCTGAAGGGCTACAAGATCAAGATCACTGCATTGGACCCATTGACTGGCCGACAGACCCGTCAACAAGTTCTGAATACCGACACCGACGTGACCACCCCCGAGTCCGTCCTTTATGTTGGCGCCAACTCCGCCTCCCCTCTCATCGCGTGGACCGACAAATCCCAAAAATCCTTGAAAGTCAATGTCATTGGCACCAAGGAGGTTACATCTATTGCCATCGACAATGTCTCCGGCTCGGAACTTCGACAGATTACTGTCCATGCTCCGAACAAGCTTAACTCGCTACCACATTTCCTGGTACATTTTGTCACTGATGCCGGTGCCTGGGCTGAGGTCTACCATGTGGACTTGAAGTCGTCCAAGGTCAGCAACGCCTATCGGTTGCCGTATCTGCAGGGCCAGTCGGTGGTCTCGACCAGTGCCATTGACGCCAATGTCTACTTCACTCGAATCACCGAAGCGGAAGCTATTGTTGTTTCCTCCGCATCCCATGGAGTTTTGGCCCGCTGGGATCTACAAACGCCTCCTTCAGAGGTTGCCTTGCACTCAGTATCCGAGGTAGTCGCCAAAGGAAAGTCTTTGGCTGTGAGATCGGCTCTGTTCCGAGAGCATGGAGATTGGCAGCTCGTCCGAAATGGCCAAATTGAGTGGACTCGTCATGAAGGTCTGATTGATGCTGTTGCAGCCACCTGGGCGGAAACCGACTTCCAAGAGGATCTAGCCCATGAATTGGAGGTTGAAGGGCATGAGACTCTGTATGGCGCTTATCTTCATCGGGTGAAGCGTCATACTCGGGACTTGCAGCATTTGCCTGACTGGCTGAAGGATCTGCCAAGACGTATCTTGAGCAGCATTTTGACCGATGAAGTTTCCAACTTGGACAGCTTTGGGATTGCTAAGCCAGTCATCATTGCCACCAAGAATGGCCGCGTTCATGCCTTGAACACCGGTAAGCATGGTGCTGTGTCGTGGAGCGTCCAAGTCACGGATACCACGCAGTGGGATGTGAAAGCAATCTTGAGCTCCCCTGGGGCCGTGACCATTCACCCCAGCGATGGGAGCTTTGTCACTCTCGATATCTTGACAGGAGAAATTCTTTCGCGCACCGAGCCGTCCGGCAGCACGCTTCACACCATCGCCGTGCTTGCGACCCAGGATGGTGCCTCGTTGACCACAGCTGGTATTAGCGCAGATGGAGCCCCGGTCACTGCATTGGTCAAAGACAATGGCATTCTAGTAACCACAAGCGCCGATGGTCGAGTGCTTGGCTGGATTTCTGAAGACAACAAGGCGCCCGTTTGGGAGTTTGTCCCTCCCTCCGGACAAAAGGTCATCAAGGCCACTGCTCGCCCTGCGCATGACCCCGTCGCATCAATTGGCAAAGTACTTGGAAACCGCTCTGTCCTATACAAATACCTGAACTCCAATCTCGCATTGATCACCGCTGTGGATGCAAAGGCCAAGACTGCAAGCTTCTACCTTCTGGACGGAGTATCCGGCAAGGTTTTGCATGCGACCACACAAACAGGCGTGGACTCTACGCAGCCTATTTCCTCTGTTGTATCTGAAAACTGGCTCGCTTATTCATTCTGGGGCGACGTTACTACCGATGAGTCCTCCGCCAAAGGCTACCAATTGGTGGTCTCGGAGCTTTACGAATCTCCCTTGCCCAACGACCGGGGTGCCCTCGGCCCTGCTAGCAACTACTCCAGCGTCGATACACTCCCATTGCCACACGTCATCTCCCAAGCATTCATGATCCCCGAACCTATCTCCCACATGGCCGTCACTCAAACCCGCCAAGGAATCACCACTCGTCAACTCCTCTGCACCCTTCCATCCTCCAATTCCATTGTCGGTATCCCTCGTCCCGTTCTTGATCCCCGCCGCCCCGTTGATCGCGACCCTACCGCCGCCGAGGCCGAGGAAGGCTTGTTCCGCTACACGCCCTTCCTTGAGTTTGATGGCAAGTGGTACCTTTCGCACGCGCGCGATGTCGCCGGTATTAAGGAGGTGCTGTCCAGCCCCACCTTACTGGAAAGTACCAGTCTGATTCTCGCGTACGGTAACGACATCTACGGTACTCGGGCCACCCCGAGTCAAGCATTTGATGTTCTCGGCAAGAGCTTTTCCAAGCTCCAGCTCGTGCTCACAGTAGTGGCACTTGGTGCGGGTGTCGCCGTTTTGGCTCCTATGGTATGCCCCACTTTCTTTGCATTTTGTCCACCAACTCCCATTGCAATTTTTACTAACGCCGCTTGGCTATCCAGACCCGAAGAAAACAAGTCAATGCCTTGTGGAAGGCATAGGTCATTATGCAATTGAGATCTGATAGAAGCGACATTGCAAACTGTAATCGAGGTGATTCATGAATTGTGTATTCTAGGAGTTAATGTGATAGTAGATATGCGTCTGAAAGGTGATGCCCTGTTGACTATGCGAGGAGAAGATCCAATTAGCCATAACCTGACCACAGTGGAAATTCATAACGACGTTTGGACTGTTTGATATCCTGAGCCAGGGTCTTCCCAGGAGCTTCAGGTAGCGCTCACTTGATTGAGCGCACAATCTCACACGTTTTCAATATGGTATGATATCTTCCAAGCCTTGGAGGTTAATGTAAATAAATATACTTGGGCAATTTGGGCAACTTGGAGCATTCAAAATATACTTAAGTAAAAGCACAGAACATTATCAATGCTTACTTTTCGGTGAATCTGTTGCCAATCCTTCATGCACTGTGAGATTGAAGGCCTGATGACTCGTCTCAAAACATCAGGTTCACAGTGGCACTGAGCCTGGTACACTAGTCATTTTCAACACTAACCCACCAGCGAGACAGGGTAAGTGAAAAACAAACATCGATCTCAGCATACTCCGTAGTAGACGGGAGAGAAACAGCGGGATCTGGCACTATAAAGGCGGTGTGACCGCTCCCCAACCCTCCCATAACAAAAGATAAATGAAGGCACCTTCATCTCCATACTTTCCTCAGATCATTGGCTTTTACTCCTTTCCCGCGGACTTTGATCCTGAGGACCTTCCCCACCCACAATTTCACATTGTGGGCAACGTGGCCGTTGTAGAGAGGTGTTGGGGATCTCGGCTCTCTTCCTGCGGATACGATTTACCGGGGTCAGGAGAAACCAAAGCTCCAGGTCGTCTCGAGCTTCACACTTGACAGTCGCCATTTTCTCACCCCTAGTGCCTTGACTGCTTCTTGTCGTTCATGTCTTGGCAATCCCCGTCTGCCATGGCTGGGATCGCAGGAATGTCCGGTGCTATGGATGGTTCAAACGGCCCACAGGGCACGGAATACACGCTGCAGGGTAAGTGAGCCTTCAGCTCCAGATCAGAATTCCAACTAAACGTTGACATGATGTAGGTGTTATGCGATTTCTGCAAACAGAATGGCATCGTCACGAACGCGATCGCAACGCCTGGGAGATTGAACGTGCCGAGATGAAGTCCCGCATTGGCCGATTGGAAGGCGACCTACGCACCAGCAAGCGTCTACATGAGTCTCTCGGGAAGCATGTGAGGCTGATGGAGACTGCGCTCAAGCGTGAAAGGGAGAAAGTCAAGAAGTTATCCAACAACGAACCCCTTGAGGATGTCAAGGACCCCAAGGAGGCTGCGCGTGACAGCGTCAATTTCTTAAAGGGTTTGTGGCCTCTGATAACCCCCCATGTTAGTCTGCGTTTACTGACCGTGTTGACTATCAGCGCAACGCCCCAAACTTGACACCGATAATGAGAATGATCCCGACCCAGACAACGAAAGCCAACAGGATGGTCAACTCGATGACGGCCGAGACAAAGTTCGCGGATTCCTGACAAAAGCCACCCATGAGATCTCATACCATGTGATACCTACATCCCACCCTCCGCCCGACCTCAACGACTCCGAAATCCCGGGCCACTTATACGGCAGTTCACAACTGTCTCAGCAGAACCTAGAGGAGGCGTATCTGCAGCAGCAACGGCAGAAGGCCAACCAAGTCATGGCGCGCGAGATGGCACTCCAAAATCACCAACCAGTTACGAATCACTACCCCGAGAACGCCATGGCCCGGGGTCAAAACCAGTATCTTCCTCGGGATAATATGGATCGGCGGCCACTTGAATCGCAGCAGGCTCCTGTCGGATCAATTGGCAACCGGACTCATGTATATGAACAAGGTTTAGTCGACGAGCAACAAAGCCAATCATACGAGACACAGGGGCCTCAAGTTGCCGTAAAGGAGGATGTCAACTCGCAGGTCTTGCCCGAGAAAACCGAAGACGTGGATGGGTGGAATTTTGATGAGCCAGTGGAGCAACAGCCACTTGCAGAGTCGGTTCCGCCGCATCGTCCAGACACCGATGCGTTCCCAAACGCCAATTTCGTGCGCCCCGAGTCATCCGCGAAGGTGGCGTCGCTCCCTCACCGAAGAAAGAGCTCCGGTTCGAGACGCAAGAGTGAAGGCGCCGCTGATATTCGTGAGGGTGGCGCGGCCTTGAGTCAACAGCCAGACACCAATTTTAAAGTCCGGTTCGCCCTGCGCGGGCACCTGGACGTGATTCGCTCTGTCATCTTTACTGGCGGCGGCAGCCCATCAGAGCCTGAAATCTGCACCTGTAGTGATGATGGAACTATCAAGCGATGGATTATTCCAGCGACCTACGGCGGCTTCGGACCGCATGGCCCGGGCTCCAGCAATGATCTGGACATCACAAGTTACTTCACACACCGCGGACACGAAGGTGCTGTCACCTCGTTGGCTGCTTGTTCCCCCTCTCAGAATATTTCAAATGGTGGACGCGTCCTGGGCGATGGCTGGGTGTTCTCAGGTGGCCAGGATGCTAGCGTGCGCGTATGGGAGCGTGGCCGTGTTGACCCCAAGGCCACCTTGGACGGACACACAGATGCAGTTTGGGGACTCTGCGTCCTTCCTGGGACAGTGGGATCTGTCTTCGGCGATTCCAGTAGCCACTACGGTGGCCCGGATCGCATTCTGCTTGCATCTGGTGCTGCAGATGGCCGGATCCTGATCTGGGCTGTGAGCGCGCCTCCTCAGGTCTCCTCACCTCCGGGTGGATCCCGCCGTCAAGGTGGAAGCCGACGGGCAAACTCAATATCATCTGGATCAAACTTCCCATCTTCACCACAGCCCAGTGTGGCTACTACTACGCCTTTCAACCACACCCTCATTCATCACATCGTTCGCACTGAGTCACCTTCGCCGACATGTATAAGTCCACTGTCGCTTGCGGGTGTCAACTTTGTTGTCTCTTATTCAGATGCCTCAATCCTCGTCTACGACACACGAACGGGCGAGGAAATTGCGGGCATGGCTAGCCTGGAGACGTATGACGGTACACCATCCACTGGTGTGAACTCCGTTGTCGCCACCACCATTGGCTTTGATGGCACAGCTAATCTGGATCCCAATCGGGCAACCACCGAGGAGGAAGTTGTGCATGGAGCCACAGGTTCCAGTAGCGTGGAGGGTGTAATTATCAGTGGCTACGAGGATCGATACATCCGCTTTTTCGATGCCAACAGTGGTATGAGTTATTGTCATTTCGCTCCGCTCCAACATGCTAATTCTCGACACAGGTCAATGTACTTACACAATGCTCGCTCACCCCGCAGCGATTGCCTCCTTGTCATTGTCCCCAGATGGACGTGAGCTTGTTTCGGCAGGTCATGATGCAAGCTTGCGATTCTGGGACCTGGAAAAACGCACCTGTAACCAGGAGCTGACAAGCCACCGATTGATGCGTGGCGAAGGAGTCTGTGCTGTTGTGTGGAGCCGTGATGGCCGCTGGGTCGTCGGCGGCGGCGGAGACGGCGTTGTCAAGGTCTTCTCCCGATGATTGAACGAGATGTAACCCATGTATGATTCTTCTTGTGTTATACCTGTGCGTGTTTTGCGCTTTGCCTCCCCTGTGTACGATCCCATGAACCGGATGAGCGATTGGCCGGACCAGTTCTTTCGAGCATTTACAACGGTGTTCTATCAAGCTGCCTGGCATGTCATACTCATCTTCAGTGAATTTGCTTTTGTGTTCTCTTCAACCTGTGTACTTTTTGCCCCCTTTCAACTTCTCCGACATGCTGTTTGAGATAGATTCCCCGGCGTGGGTGTTTGGTTTCGACTGTTTCGATACATGTTCAATTGACTCTTGGGCTGGAACATATTCTGTCTGATGTTCAATTGGTTCTCGCGCTGGTTATTTTGCTCCCAGGGAGTATCGCTTCCTGCGTGTTTATATGGCACGAAACTCTGTGGCCTTCCTGGATGCGGCTGCTTTTGCTTCAAGGCAGTGTGTTTGCGATGTTAAGATCCAGTTCGCCTAATACCCACTTCCTTAGATCGTAGTACTCAAAGACGAAGCAATCCATGGATTTTTCAGACTCTCAAAGGCCCGTATTTACAATCAAATAAATAGAATGTCGAGGCCATTCCATGATGATATTAGTTGTAGGGTTTAATTATGCTTTTGACTGGCTGCTCTATTTCGCAGACTTCCATGCATCTTTAAAGAGCGACTTCAGGCGTTGTGCTTCACCCTCATCCTTCAAGCGCTGTTCAAGATAACCCTGCAAGTCATCCCAGAACGTCTCCGTCTGCAGCACCTCCGCGCCACTCGGTCCTACGGCAGGCTTAGGGGGAGACTCATCTTGCTTCTCTGCGACCTCCGGCTGCGACACGGAAGTTTCAACTGCCTGAGCACCGCCAATAACCATGATCCCGATCTCAACTTCTTTACCCCCGGCCAGGATTGCGGGCTCATCTACTAGCAATTCTGCGAGTGTCTTCCCGGTCCCGGTAACTGGCTTTCGCTTATAGAGGATCTTAATCTTTTCAAGCTGAACTTGGCCTCCTTGTGTATCGGTGATGCGACTTTGCACAGCATCACGAATGTCCTGGACTGAGGTGGTGGACAAGGGTGCGTTGGGGATAGCGAACTCCAAGACCGGGTTCCGGGCCGATTTGATACGGACACTGATGGATTTGGAGGAGCCAGGAGCTTGTGCCGACTTCACTTTCTTGGGCATTGAGGGATGCGGGGCCGAGAGGCGGGGAAGAGTGTACTGTGATATGGAACAAAAGGTTAGTATGCAGACAATTGGGCCGAAGCATGATTTCACAGGTTTCTCCCAAACTTACAGGAACCCGCAGGCCAACCTGCTCTGGGTCGAAGACATGGTCAGCGCGAAGCTTGATAGGCCGTGAGTCTAACGTGGACAGGAATGATTTGGCAAAAGTCAATTCAGACATGGCGAGATGAATGGAGAAATCTCTTCTGGAGAATGAGAAGAGAAAATGATAGAGGACAGAGTCGAAGAATCGAAGAAATTTGGCGGTTGGAGACGTAGATGAGATGCTTGGTGGATGCCCAGGAATCGTGTTGATATCAAAAGTAGACACCTGAAAGGACAGGCGTGAAAAACTGCATTACACCGCCCTCCGGATTATTTTACTGCCGTAAACCACCGCCCGAAGAGAAAAAAAAAAGACGGGAAGAAAACGCAGCTCTCGAGCATACACCTTGAACGTTCTTCACATCAAGTTTTCTTCACAATGGGTACCGGTCGCCGTATGGGAACCAAGCAGGGCGTCCCTGCACCCCTCGATGAATCAAAAATCTCCTCGCTGAAGAAGCGCAAGGCTGGCAGCGCTGAGGCCCCCAAGGCCACCCCAAAGCGCCGCAGATCCGACGCCGACGAGGCTGTTTCGAAGAAGCAAGCCCCTAAGAAGAAGAAGGTCACCGCCGCCCCTGTCAAGGCTGAAAAGAAGGGTCCCAAGAAGGCTGTGCCAGTGCCTATGTCCGACGATGATGAGGAAATGGAGGATGATGAGTTTGGTGACCTCGATGGAATCAGCGAAGGCTCAATGGATAGCGACGATCAGGTGGAGGGACTTTCCGACATCGAGGATGATGACTCCGTCGTTGATTCTGACGAGGAAAACCACGCTCGTGGCGCCATGTTCTCCGACGACGATGACTCCGATGCCGAAGAGAGATTGACTGCCGCCAACATCGAGGGTCTGTCACGGAAGCTGGACGCCGCTCAGCAGGAAGAGGAAGAGGATGCTGAGCAGGAGTTGCAGGATGCGCAGATGCAGACCAACATCGCCGCGCCTGACGTTTTCGCCGATGAAAATCAGCAACAGGGACTCGCACCTGACCTGCAGCTTCTCCGCCAGCGCATTACTGACACTATCCGAATTCTCGGTGACTTGAAGACACTTGGACAACCAGAAAGGTCGCGCACAGACTACGTCGATCTCCTGCTCGACGACATTTGCACCTACTACGGCTACACCCGATTCCTCGCCGAGAAGTTGTTCAACCTGTTCACCCCCATGGAGGCATTTGCCTTCTTCGAGGCCAACGAGACCCCTCGCCCCGTTGTCATCCGTACCAACACTCTCCGAACTAACCGCCGATCCCTCGCCCAAGCCCTGATCAACCGTGGTGTCGTCCTCGAGCCTGTTGGCAAGTGGTCCAAGGTCGGTCTGCAGGTATTCGAGTCTCCCGTGCCTCTCGGTGCCACCCCCGAATATCTGGCTGGTCACTACATCCTTCAGGCCGCTTCTTCGTTCCTTCCGGTCATGGCTCTCGCTCCCCAGCCGAACGAGCGCGTCCTCGATATGGCCTCCGCACCCGGTGGTAAGACGACATACATGTCTGCCCTCATGCGCAACACTGGTTGTGTGATCGCAAACGATGCCAGCAAGCCTCGTGCCAAGGGTCTGATTGGTAACATTCACCGTCTTGGTTGCAAGAACACTATCGTGACCCACATGGATGCTCGCACTGCTTTCCCCAAGGCTATGGGCGGTTTTGACCGCGTTCTTCTCGATGCTCCTTGCACTGGTACCGGTGTCATCTCTAAGGACCCCGGTGTCAAGACCTCAAAGAATGAGCGGGATTTCCTCGCCATTCCACACATGCAGCGCCAGCTTCTTTTGGCCGCTATTGATTCCGTTGACCACGCGTCGAAGACTGGAGGCTACATCGTTTACTCCACTTGCAGTGTGACAGTTGAAGAGAACGAGGCCGTTGTGCAGTACGTCCTTCGCAAGCGCCCCAATGTCAAGATTGTGGACACTGGCCTCGGTGGCTTCGGTAGCCCCGGTTTCCTCAGCTACATGGGCAAGAAGTTCGACCCTAAGATGGCGCTCACTCGCCGTTACTTCCCTCACCGTGAGAATGTTGATGGTTTCTATGTCTGCAAGCTGAAGAAGACCGCTGTTACCCCGGCGCCTAAGTCGGAAGACACGGAATCCCGCTCTACGGGCCGCAAGAAGTCTCGCAGCGCCAGCGCTGCATCCTCTGATGACGAGTCTGTCGACAAGACCCCTATTGTTGACGAGAACGGACATGCCGCCGATTTCGAAGGTGGTGCCTTCAGCGCTTTCGAGGACCCCGAGGACGCTGAGCGCATTGCCCGTGCCGAGCGCAACCGTCTTCGCCGCAAGGGACTCAACCCCAAGGGTGTTTTGAACAAGCCCAAGAAGAGCAAGGCCGAGCCGTCGCAAAAGACCAGCAAGACCGAAGAGCCTAGCCAAGAAGAAGAAACTAAGACAGTTGCCTCGAAGAAGTCTACTAATGAGCCCAAGGGCGAGAAGAAGACCGTCACCAAGGGCAAGGAAGATAAGAAGCCCGTGACCACAGAGCAAGTGGAGAAGCCTACCAAGGCCAAGGGAGAGAAGAAGGGGGATAAGAAGGCCAAGAAGGCCACGAAATGATCGAACCAAGCGATCATATCCATGGATATTTGTTTTATGTGTGTATATTTCTTCGGGCACTTCAAAAGCATTATGTATTAGGTCCGGGGACCGGCGTATAGGATATACCTTTTGTTCAATCAAGATCAAACTGTGTTAATCAAAACTTTAGAAAGAGACAGGGACTTGTAAAGGCCGTAGTTCTAAAGTTGTACTTGATCAAGGCGAAAAGAAGAAAGGGAACGGCTGCCCAAATGGTAAAATGATTGTGTTAATTGTGTGCAGTAAAGTAATAAACGATCTATAGGTCTATCCCGATATATGTATGAAAACCAAATTGAACCCTGAATTCTCGAATCACTCCAAATCATATCCCTGAAAATCAAACCGCACGCTAATGAACGAAAGAAAAAGTTCTCGAGTCCGATCATGTTTGAATCATCAGATGCAGCCCATGCGCAAAGGATCTATGCCCGATAGATCTTAATCACCTTTTTGACTTCTTTGCGGCACATTGGACACAGGCCCACAAGGTTGGCGCAAGTCACACATGAACAAAGATGGCCACACTCTGCAAAGACAGCATCCATTTCTTCAGTGTAACAGATTTGACACAGGTCGAGCTCTGCGTCCGCTACCTCCCAGTAGCTGATTCCCTTACCATGACGTTTGCCGTCCTTGAATCCGCCAACATACTTATTACCCGTGGTGCTCTCAATATATGTGCCCTGTCCATGGCAGACATCTTCAACCCAGTCACCGTCGTACGAATCACCCGTGGGATAGACCAGTTTGCCTTGACCATGGCGTCGACCAAAGACAAAGTCACCCTCGTAGACCATACCGGTGCTGGATATGTGTGTTCCTTTGCCATGCTGATGACCCTTCATGAAGTCACCGCTGTAGTAGTCTTGAGTGAATGTGGCCTCAATGGTCTTGTTACCGGTGAAACCGTGAATTGGATGGCCGCGCGAATGGGCCCACAGATACTGGACGAGACGATCAGGACTGGTGAATGAGCCGGATAATGCAAGTTGAGAGCGCCTGCCTTGTGTTAGAACGAGGAAATCTCTGGCGACCAGAAAAGTAATTGACTTACCTGTCCTTCGTGAGCTTGTCTCCAACGATGAAGCAAGCGCCGTGTGGAGCCATCACATCATCAAAGCTATCGGCTGGTGACACTGTAGTGACCGTGGCACCATCAACTCGCTTCCACATCAGGAAGTCTTGTCGAATAGACCGCTTGAGATGACGTCGAATGGAGGCTTTGACGTTGGCATCGAGCCTAGAGAAGAATGACCCCACGGTTCTGAGAACTTGACTATCTGTATCAAACATCTGAATGAAATAGTATGCGTGTGAGATGGGCAACTCGACCTCAGGCTCAACGTGAGATCGAACTGCGGTTGCTGTGGATGCTCTAACCTCAGGAGAGGTAATAGGAGCGGAGCTTGTGGCCTCCGTAAATGCCACACGCTGACCATCCACTCCATTCTCTCTCACAGTGACAGTTGCACCGTTTTCTTCTGAGACAACAGTTGGCTGAGATGAATCGTGGATACCATCGCTATTTTCCAGGTTTGAAGTGTTGGGAAGGGCAGTGATTTCCTGGGGGACGTTTCCAGAAGAGCTGGCAACGGCATCCCCCTCCACCACGGACGAAGACGCATTTCCCACTGTTTCAGGTTCTGAGGCCTGGACGAGATGATCTTCAATTTTATCCTCTGAGGTAATAGCTGCAGGAGGCTCTGGAATCGCGAAGAATTGAGCGTCCTCTGCGAGGGAATTCAAGGTTAACAACAAAATGAGACGGAGAAACGGTACGGATTCTTCTTACCTTCTGATATGACCTCCATCCAAAATCTGATGTTATTCAAAGAAGGGTCCAATGGAGTATTGAGATCGGTTGCATGATCAAAGGTCAGCGATGGCCCAGTCTGGGCAGACGAATTGCCCATTTGCCAGAACCGAATACGCTCGGGATTGATTCGCTCTGTATCTGAAGACTTTCGTGAAGCAATCCTTTTGCGTAGTTCAGCCAATGGCGATGAACGGGGCAAAGCCATATACATGACACTGTCTGCTGCTTTGGCCTGAGCCATAAGATCATATGGGTCAAACAGACTGGTCAGCTCATCATACTGAGGGAGCGAATAGATCTCGACTTGGACATCATCTGCAGGCTGCTCGCTGATAGGAGAGACACCTGTCTCATAGTATTGCTTCAAAGATTCAGAGGTTTCCCAGGGTTCTTGCGAACCGGGTAACAGCTCAGAGACCATATCACCGCGAATGTACATTGCCATCACTGGTATGTCGTGTCCCTTCTTGGGATCGACGGTTTGAGAAGGATCAAGACCAAGGTGGGGACCCATGGCGGTTTTCTGAGTCAGGCACTCAACACGATTATCACTGCCGTCATCGAAAGCGAGCCATGTGGTGCCCGGACCGGCCGGGCGGAGGATGCTGAAGAATTTGCCCGAAGTGCGACGGCCACGGTGAACGATATATCCATACAGAACATACTTGCTTCCCTGACCATCGACCACCCAAGGAGTGAGGTCCAACTCCTCATCCAGTTGAACCTTGTCATATCGCAGCTGCCACCGGTTGGCTTTGTCCAATGTATGGCGGCCAATCTCAACATGCAAAACCGGTGGAAGTGACCAACGGCCGGATTTAGTACCCAGATAGGTGGTAACGGCTTCCGAGATGGATTTGGTCTGGTCAATTCGCATGTAAAGACGCGAGTTGAAGTCAGTAGGCAGCTTGTTTACAATGGGCTCGCCATCGGATGCTTGAGAGTCCACTGTCGGACTGTCAAACAGATCGGCAAACTTCTTGCCAGCATCGGTTCCATCAAGCTCGACTTCCAACGTGCGACGCAGGCGTTCCCAAAACTCGGACACATCGCTTGAGAATTCATGTAGATTGCGTAAGGTCGTGGTCACTGCGTCGGTATCTACATAGCTTGGGGAATGAGTCCGTCGGCGAAGTTGCCATAGCAGCCGCTGGAGAGCACCACATAACGGTTTGGGCTTTGCCTGTGAATTGGTGAGATGCTCGAGTACATCAATGCCCTTGATGATATTGCAGAACGGAGCAATATGCAACCACGAAGCAAGCCCAGCCACCTCCGGACTGTGGTTGATGATTGAGTCACCAAGTGGTCGATACCCTGTCAAGGCCATGCTGTCCCAAGTGGGCTCCGAATCACTTGGGTGCCACCATAGAGATTTGGTGGGATCATCAACCACCCTGATGTATGCATCAAAGGAGAGTGTATCGTTGCTGAGCAGAGCGCGGTGCTGACCTCGTCGACGAGTGTGGATCTGGTCCCAGGGACCGTGGAAATAAGTCCACCCCCAATCCAAATTGTGGGGGTTGAATTGATGACAAGATGATTGCATCCATCCAGTACGCGGCTCTTGTGGGTTGTACACAATAACACCCACCTGTGCGGGCACACGCCAAGGAGCAGATGCTTGAGCATCAACCGTGTTGGTGGCGTCCCTGGCAGCCATATACTGAGACTTGTAGCCTTCTAGCCATGCCGCTGCATCGTTTGTGGCATCAGTCTTTGACTCTACCTCTGGGGCATTGTCATCAAGTGAGGCATCAGGCCCACCTCTGCGTACGGTGAATTCCATCTGTGGAAGATCCTCGTCTGGCGTAGGCATTGTGGTAGAGCATTCCAAATAGACACTCAGTGCATTGACATTGTTTCCCCGAGGGTAGAACTTGATGCGCCACCAATAGCCTCCCACAAATGCAGCGGGGGACCGAAGAACCTTGTGCCGATTAGGGTTTTCCGGGGTGCCTCGCACCCCTTTGAAAGTCCACGTGAGACGGGCTTTTTCGGTTGGGACGTACTCGGGATCGCCCAAGTCTCGGAAGAAGTTGTTTTCCCAGTACTTGTCTATAATAATCAGTCAACCCACAGGATCTGTAAAGGATGGGAATGATTGACACATACGATCAGAGGCGCTGTAGTCCGAGTCCCCTCCGTCAATCTCTTTCATCTCATCCTCATCTGGAGTAGTTGTATCCTCCTCGTACTCCGCCCAGTACGCGTGCTCTGTCTCTTCCGGTAGACTGGTCCTCGGCTGAGAAGTTGGAGGCTCAGCCTCAACAGACTGAGTGGTATGGGTCACCGTGGGCTCGGGGTGACCCGAGGCGCCTGTATTGGGTGTGTCCATGACCAATCGAGAAAGCCCGATACTCCACAGAGATTTGAAACACCAAAATAGGCGAGTATATATAGACAGCAGTGAATGAAAGGGGAGGGTTCGAGGTTGCCCAGGCGTAGACTTGTTGATAAGGGCTTATCAGATAAGGGATATGCGGAGAGGGCAAATGGATATAAGAAGAAAACGAGGGAAAGTCTGGAGAAAAAAGAAGGTGAACGTTGAAGTAAGGGAAAAGAAAGGGACAAAACATGCAAATGAAAAAAAAAAAGAAGAAGAAAAGAAGAAAAAGCGCGAGGGCAGGAGATAAGCCCCAAAAAAGTCCGGGGGAGCGGCATCGGGTGTGGGTCCTTGAGCCTTACTTGGATCAGCCATTCCACTCAGTACGGAGTACTTGTATAACTCACAGTGAACAGCAGTGAGACAGGTCAAGGGACAATTGTGATACATGTCTTCATTATTCGTTATTTACACTATCTACCATCTACTACTGCACCACACGGAGTACTATACCGTACCGAGTAGTCTGGAAGTGCGTTGCGGTGTGCCGATCATCGGATATCTCCACTCAGGGCAGTCAACCTTAATTTGCCAATGGAATCTCGCCTTCTTTTTTTTTCTTCCAGTGGCGACTCGGCGACTCGGCTCCTCCCTTTGCCACTGAGCTTTCATTGGCTGAGAGGTCGCCATTCCAGCGGGGTTCATGCCAGACTGGTCAGGGCAACGCGTCCAATTGGCCAAATAGGGGCCTAGGGGTCCGTTGTGATCACCATGATTGGCTGGAACCAAATCGCACCTTTGACGGGATCCTGCATTGCTTGGCATTGGCACAGAACTCAATGGGCGTGTTCAGTTCTGCGATTGACGAGCAAATGAGGCTGCAACGATCATAGGGAATACTGCAGTGGCTTCGGCGTAGACCTGTCAAAGATGGAATGTGAGACCGGGAACTTCTAAAGTGATGGGCAAAGTAGGGGGGATCAGAAACACTTACCTTGACCGATTTGGCGTCTGCCTTGATCTTTCCCCAGCTCACCGCTTCATCTGGTCGAGCGCCGGCATCGCTGCCATCGAACTCCTGCGCGGTGTTCACGTAAACTGCGTGCTCGGCCCCATTTCGCATGAGGCATGCGTTAGCAATGTGGTGCTTGACAACACCACCACCCAAGATGATCATGCCGGCCCGGGTAGCTCGCACAGCCATGGTGTTGATACGGCGCACATCATCTACAATGTCAACCCTCAGTCGCTGTGGGGAAGACTTAAAGGTGTGGAAGTAGAGCATGTCGCCCAGGGAGCCATCGGTCAGAGCTGGACAGAATACGGGGATTCCATTCCGGGCGGCCCAGTACAGGACCGAATCCTCATGGTTGATCTCACGACCCAAACGCTCGGTGATGCGGCTGGGTGTCCAGTGCAGCTCGTCCTCCGCATCCCCTGTCTCCCGAGCCTTTTCTCTGGCCGCCTCTTGTTCCTCTAGCATCTTGTCCAAAATAGGTACCACCCAATCCTCAAATGCACAGTAGTTGTTGTTGGGCACAATCAGATTGCCAATGCGGTTAAGACCTTTGTTGCGGAGACCTGCTCCTGGGGTCGAGAATGAACCAAGGTATGTCGGCGCCAAACATTTGATCAAATCTTCTTCCACTCCACCCGCAGTTGTTACAATAGCCGAGACATGGTTGTGCTTGACCAGATAGCGCAGGGTGTCTCGCAGGCCGGACGAAATGAGGTTGGAAGTAAATCCGAGGAAGATGGTAGTTTTGTTGCCGGTTTCCGGGTCGCGGAACGCACGCTATCAAGAAGCATATGGTTACATTTGAACTTTTGGGCGAGGGAGGTGGGAAAATACCATTTCATTGATGATGCTTGCCGCCTCTGCGACCGCACTGCCCTGAAACCCTGTGTAGGCCAGATTGTCCACCATTTCGGCCACTGTGATATCTCGGCCTTGGAACCGATCAAAATCCACGCCGCTCACGACATGCGATCCTTCCGGGACCGGTTGCGAGCTTTGGAGCACGGAGTCCGTCACGGTGGAAGGAACGGAAGAGTGATTCATATTTGCCATCTAGGAGAGATCGATGAAGAGAAGGAAAGTTCGAGAGGCGTTGCCAATGAAAGGCACGGTGATCTGGCCAGGATGTTAACGGAGTATGAAGTATGTATAATGTACAGAGAGCTGCGACAATGGAGGGGCAGCTGTTGATCTTTTTTTTTTTCGGCGGGGAAAAGATCGACACCTGAGGTGTATATGTGCCTGAGGCACCAGTGGATTTGTTGAGAGTACTATACAAGTGCCTTGTACTCCTCAGTATGGGATCATTGACTATTCTGCAATCAATGTTGATGTCGGGGGAGATGTTACTCCGGTAGGATTTAATCAACCTGAAAATATACTCCTACGCAATAAAGTCTACACTGTGTAGGGAGTAAAGAGTCGAAAGAACGAAGTGTCAAAGTGCCATCAGATAGAGTTGCCTCGAAACCCACGCTAGTGTTGAAAGGGGACTAGTGCCACCCCCTTGAACTTCATCGCAACTCTCTCTCTTTGTCGCGTTTCTCTACCTCTCGGTTCTGCTTTCGGGACTTCTACCTCGGGCGCAAGGAGCTCGCATGATTTCTCCGATACGTACACTCCACTCCTGTTCATCTTCATCTCTCCCTAGTGATCACTACTATATCTATCGGTGATTTTTGGCAGCCGAGGCAGCTAAAACAGCTGAAGCGTGAAGCAACGGAGACAGAGGCAACCCTTGGCTAGGCGCCCCCCCGAACGGATCTTTTTTCTCCATATGCGCTTTGCCCGATCGGGCCACATGAAAAATTACGTAAGGTGGCCCGTGCTCTCTCCCTCGTTCTGCTCCAGATGCTCCGTGCTCTGGGATCCTGCATTCCTCTTTGCTCCCCATTAACACACATCTTGCACATGGAGCGCTTACCTTTGAATAGCTTCGTAGCATGACGCGATAATGTCATCTCGATTCCCTCCATCGTCCGGGTTCAATTCCCGTGACCGCTCTCCACAACGATTCGGAGACCGACGTCCCCCAGCCGGTCCCCGAGGTCCAGACGACGGCCCTGCGCCATTCGGCAGAGATCCACCGCGTGGCCCTCGAGCTTTAGTGGACTCTCCTCGAGGGGGCCATTTTGGTGGTGGCCGCGGCAGGGGCTATGGCCGTGGCGATTTCCGTGATCGAGACCGAGACCGCGACCGTGACTTTCGAGATAACCGGGACGGTCCTCCATTTCGCCGAGATCTGGACCGCGACTGGCCTCGCCGTGGGCATGACCGCGATCGCGACTTCGATTCAAGAGACAATAGAATAGGCTTTGGCCGGGGCCGTTCCCGGTCCCCCACGCGCGATTTTCGAGATATCAGGGAACCCCCCGGGCGTGATTTCGATCTGGTTCGGATGCGACGCAATTCAAGAGATAGTATTCTATCCGCATCATCGGGAGGTCCAGATGGTCCGCCGCCAAATATGGGCCATATGCCTCGAGGGGGCATGCGAGGACGGGGCCGTGGAGATTGGGAAGGAGGTCGTGGCAGAGGTGGACGGCCTTTCCTGGACGACCGCGATCTATTCCGTCGACGTAGTCGATCTCGCGAACCATGGCGCGGTCGAGATAGAATGATGGACCGCGATAGAGAAAGGGACTTCGATCGGGAGCGCGTGCTTGATCGTGAGCGAATGATGGATCGTGATCGCGATCGAGACATTTTGCGCCCAAGAGACCGAGAACGTGATCTTTTGGATCGGGACTTGGATCGTCGAGACCGCTTTGACCGCCGTGAAGATTGGGACAATAATCGACGTCCTGACCGTGAAGATCGTGATCGCCCCGCGGATTCCTGGAAAAGGGATCGACCCCCTAGTCGTACAGACAGTCGCGCGGCGAGCGGTTCAACTACCTCTTCGCATCCTCCGATCGCGCCGGGCCAAGCCTCGACTTCAACAGACCGGCTACCTGAACATCAACAGGTAGATCACAACCGAAAGCCATCCATCATTCCAGGTGCTCCTGCCCCCGAATCAGGACGAGACACCGAGCGGAATGATCACTCCACTTCTCGACCAGAGCTAATGAGGCCAAACCCTGTTCGACCAAATCCCGCTCGACCTGATACTGTTCAATCTGACTCGAGTCGGCCTGGTCCCGCCCGAGCTGACCCCATCCGGCCCGAACTTACTCGGCCCGAACCTGCACGACCTGAATCCGCTAGACCTGAAGCTGCTCGACCCGAACTTGCTCGGCCTGAACCTACTCGGCCTGAACCTACTCGGCCTGAACCTACTCGGCCTGAACCTGCTCGGCCTGAACCTGCTAGACCTGATCCAGCTCGACCCGAGACTGCCCAGCATGATTCAGTTCAGTCTGAGCCCATTCGACAGGAGCCTAGAAGGGAATCAGGAGCAGTGGGTCGACGTTCTCCGCCCCCGGCCGCTCCTCAGGTACCCGCATTTGGCTCAGTGGCTGCCCCAATGAGCACCCAACCTCTAATCAAGGACCCCTTTGAACGCAAGACACCGAAAGCCACTCCACGTTCCGAACAAGATGGTAACAATGTGACCCAACGACTGCCCGCCCAGCCCCCCACTGGCCCTAAGGCTGACCGAGCCGACACATCACACTCCTTTGACCCTCGTAATCGCCACGAAGGTATCCGAGATACTGGCCACCAGCAACCTCTGCCTCCTCGAAGCCTCAAGGCATCTACCAATCTTCCCGATGTATTACCACCCACCGCTCCGGCTGCCATGGCTAGACCAGACCCAGCTCCTGCTGCCAATGACCAATTCCCAGCAGGTAGGTCGAATTCGCTTACGTCTTCTCCGACCTTCACCCGCATTCCGCCGCCAGCACCCCGATTACCGTCTCGCGAGCCTTCCATGTCACCCCGGACGCAATCATCTGGCATCCCTACCGGCCCACGGGCATTACAATGGCCGGCATCCTCCCCCCGAAGTCGCAAAGGTAGCAAGCAATGGGTGCGACCAGGCTATGGCCGAACTCCTTCTATCCCCCATGCGCCGTCAAAGCAAGAGTCTGTCGATGACGGCGAGTCGGCGATCCCTCCCAATGAAGTAGGGCGACCAGCCCCTCGAGCGCCATCCCCATTCGACATGGACGAGCCCGAGAGTGGTGAGATCTTACCTCACGAACATACGAAGGGGCCATCTCCAGTTTCTCCGATGCATCTTCCCATCAGGCGCAGCCTTTCAGCAACATTGGATGGTTCCGGTGACCTCAAAGAGCCCGTAAAAAAGGCGAATGATGAAGGATCTGTTATGATTCCAGATTTCGAGCGTTCTAGTGACGAGGATGACGGGGAGAACATCGTTTTCACGAAGGAGTATCTAGACGAAAGAAGACAGCTCTTCGAAAAAGACATGGAGTCTCTTCGAGCAGAACTGCCATTATCGCCCTTGGAAGACCCGACCATCGTTGCTCTCTTGATGAAGATCCAGCTGCTTGGTATGGTGGCCAATCAAAATGTTGCCGAACAATCAGGTGAAGGCCCAACAGGACCGACATATGAACTACCGACCGAACCGCCAACTGAGCCAATGAGGAATCCGTCGCCTGAACACCCGGCGGAGCTGCCCCTAGAGCCCAAAGAGGCCCCTGTGCCATCGCCAAGAGAGGGTGATTCGAAAGACAACACCGCCACTGAGCGTGCTGTATCCTTTGTCGCACCTTTACTTGAGCGCGAGCCAGAACCACTCACAAAAACAACTTTGCCCCCTAGGGTTTCTCACGACGAGGTCACCGTTAGCGGTTTGCCATTTTTGCAGTCAGGCCCTCCAACGCCTATCTCGGATATGGATGTATACCAGGAGAACATTGCAACACAAGATCGTCTTGGGGACACTTTGACTGCAGAACTTTCAAAGGAACAAAACGCACGCTTCAGGAAGAACGAGCTGCTCCGTGAGGAGTATCTATCTCACTACAAGCCATGGCGACTGGCAATTTGGGAGCTTGATCGTATGAAGGATAAAACATCTATTACTCCTGCACCTGTATCGCCGCCTGTATCCACTGTGCCAACTACTCCAGCACCAATGCCAGAAGGCCGCGAGGGCCGTCGGTACAAAGGCAATAGCGAACTTGATTTCCTCAATGCGCTCAAAGCCTCTGAAATCTCAGCCCAGGAGGAACTTGAACGTCGACGAACTAAAATGGCGACAGCTCGGCCGGATTTGGGCCGCGAAGCTATCATTCCCAATATGCTCGAACCAAAGGAAGAACAGGCCTGCATATACAAAGACGTGAACAACATCATTGAGTGCAACAAAGCTCTAGATGTGTTCGGCTTCTTACCACCTCCAAACGATTTCACGCCCGAGGAGCACATTGTTTTTACGGACGCATTCATGGCTCACCCAAAAAGATGGGGTAAGATTGCCGAGTCTTTACCTGGTCGGACCTTCCAACAGTGTATTGTGCACTACTATCTGACCAAGGAAGAGATCAAGTACAAGGCGAAACTCAACAAACGTTGGAGTAAGCGCAGTAAGGCAAGCCGCAAGGGCGCGCGCCCCAAATCCAATGCTCTCATTGCGGACTTGGGCGTCGTGAAACCTGACTTTGACGGCGCAGAGGACACGCCTGCTGTCACTGACACCGGTCGTCCGCGACGTGCAGCGGCACCTACGTTCGGTGAAAATCTAGAGCCAGAAAGCACTGTGCCTATCGGCCGTCGTGGCCAGCCAGTCCGTGATGGCGAACCCGTCGAACGAGCCCCAGCCCGACGAGGCGGACGCGGTGGAGGTGGGCGTGGTGGGCGTCGCGTCAAACCGCCTCAACCCGATACAAAGAGCCAGGCAATATTGCCACAGGTCAACGCGCCTTCAGTTCCGCCCCCGCCTGCCTCTCTTGGGACTGAGATGGAATTGACACCGGATACAATCATGGAAGGATACGAAGCTCGCGAACGCCAGCGCACAGAAAGAGAATCCTTACAGCAAATTCCGCGGGGCAGGATCGGCCGTGGACGGGCGAAAGATGGAGTCTATGTGTTTGAATCCACTGAAGTCGAGCAGACCCCGATCAACAAACAGCCCGAGACCGGATATGGCTCTCTGCAGCCAACAAGTTATTGGTCTGTCCCTGAGCAGCGTGATTTCCCAGCACTGCTAGGACACTTCGGCCGTGATTTTGAGGGTATCTCTGGTTGGATGAAAACGAAGACAACAGTTATGGTATGTATTGGAATACTCTTGGTAGTCCTAGTAGTCTGCATTTTGTCTTTTATCTGGCCTCCCCTTTTAGTCCCATCTTCCCCCTTTGATCCCATGTCTGTCTACGCTTGCTAATCAAAGCCACATCATAGGTCAAAAACTTCTTCCAGCGCCGTCTCGACTCTGGCCACAACGACTTTGAGCTAATTGCAAAGGATGCCGAGGAGAAGAAGGCTCGTGGTGAATCCCCAGGGAAACTTCCAAATCCCAGCGTTGCCCCAAAGCGACGTTACGAGGCGACCCCGTCTTCTATTTCTATCATTCCTCGTCCGCTTGCTCCTCATGGTGATAATATGATGGAGATTGATGAAACACGCTTCCCCTCAAAAGGAAGGCCTCATGGCCAGTCGCCGCAACCAATGTCTGTGCACATGCGACCCTTGTCCGAGAAAGAGCGGAATGCCAGTCGCTACCAGCCCCTTGCACAAGCTACAGCTGCCTCGCCGGTGCCTACCGCAACCCTGATTGAAGAATCCACTCGAGCAATTCGCGCACAAGGAGGCCCATCACATCGCGTACAGGGCCCGAGACTCGGATACTTCACTGGAGAGAGACGGGACCCCTCAAGCATGTCCAATGCTACTACTGGAGCGCAGGATTTGTCAATGTCTTCGCGTCATTCAGGCGCCATGCCACCAGACAACGCACGCCTGGAGCCTATGCCTGGCCAGGGCTATATGTCTGCGCAGCAGCAATCATCCATGTTCACGTCTCATTCCCGCCACCCGAGCTTGAATCAAACACCTGGTTCACCGAGCCAACTCCCTAGACCTGATCTTGAGATATCCTCTGTTCACCGCGATCCGTTCCCCCAGCGATCATATTACCCCATTTCAGGCCAATCAGTTGGGATTTCGCAGTCGCCTCGCCCTGGCTTGTCGCCCATTAAAGATGTTCCGCGCCCTAGTGCCACACCTGGTCCTGATACGACTTCTCGCCAAGTACCAGCGAAACGGTCCAACATCATGAGTATCCTTAATGACGAGCCCGAGGAACCCCAGCCTCGCAAACGGTTCGCGAGTGAGCAAGCCCCGCCTTCCCAGGCTACAACTCCAAGCATCAACTCAAGACCAGTTTACCAAGCCGCAGGGCCCTCGCGCCACGAAGAAATTACCATGCCGGGTATGCCACAAAAGTCCTCTGGGTACGCTCAGCAAAGCCAATACCAACCACCCTCTCGCGGCTATTCAGAGTATCCTAGCTATGGACCTCCACATAGTGGCTCGAGCACTTCGGCAAATACTGATTGGATGGCACGATTTGACCCACGGGCGCAACAGACACCTCCGCAGCCCACGGCCCCATCATTGCCACAACAGCAGCAGCAGCCACCTGCCAGCAACCGCGCTCCGGGTTCTTTGGCTTCCCAGGGCTCCTATTCGTCTTACGCCGCGGCTCCAAGCCAAGCTCCGGTGCCAACACCCAGCCTTTCTGCGCCATCCCCAGCGCCCACCCCACCGCCATCAAATCCTTCTCAGCGATCAGCTTATCCCAGCGTCTTCCCTCAATCATCTGCCCAACCGTCGGGCGTCTCAGCCTCGCGTGAGATGGCCTCGCAACCTTCGTCCTATCGACCAGGATCACCCGGTTCACGTTCTACCATGCCATATGGAACACGACAGGATCCGCCAACGCCCGCGCAATCTTCCGCTAGTGTGTATGGTGTTCACCCACGTCAGTCTGGAACTCCCTCGTCGTACGCGGCTGCAGCCACTCCAAATCCAGTTCAATCGCACAATTATCAACAGCATGTGCAAACAATGGTCAGTGGATCGCATCAGCCTCAGTCCCACCGATCAACACCTGTCACATTATCTGCTGGATCATCGCGATACGGTCATAGCACTCCTCCCCCTCAATCCCAGGCTGGGAGATCAATGGCTTCGCTGGCGAGCATTGGACGCTCTTACACTCCTCCTTCGTCTATGCATCCTTCAATGGGTGGAAACTCGATGGGTGGTTACACTGCGCCCCCTCCATCTGCGCCAGGGTCTATTCCGTCCCTGCATCAACGACCAGTTGGACCGGGGTCACTTGGTGAGAATGGCTCTACTCCAAGGCATCATCGAGTTTATAGTCACGGGTCAGCTCAAGGTCGAGTTCCAGGCTCACTGCCGCCGCCTTCACAACAACCGCGCTAGAGATCTATGATTGATTTGAACGAACTTTATGTGGGATGCAGCAGCGTATGGGAACCAGTTGTACATTAATCAGTTGCTTTGTCTTATTCGCCTCTTGTTCGGCGTTCTGGCGCAATTGCCAGCAAGGATCTTCCGTGGGTCCCCAGTTTACATGTATAACTAAATGAATGATTCGATGTATCAAAATTCTATCTCCTGTGTTGACCTAACACGGCATATTATGTATGTGCAAGATATGAATGAGCCCAAGTTGGCGTCTAATGACCGTTCCCAATCGGGAGTTTGTCTCCAGAAACAAGCATTATCGGTCCATCTGATTCATGTGGCTGGGTAAATTCCACACATTGTAGTCCAGGTGCACAAATGCGCGATCAACCGTGGGGACGCTCTCAATAATGTACTGGAGGCTCTCGCCAACGTCATGGCTATCCCGCAGACTCATCTTTTCATCAACGACGAGGTCTACTTCAACATTGAGTTTGTCGCTGGCGTAATAGGCTTTCAAGTCCTGGATCTTGAGAATGACGCGAGAGAAGCGCATGGTCATGTACAGCAGAATGCTATGATCATCACGGGTTGCAGCTGCACCTGTCAATCGCCGAATGTATTCGGCAGCGGTCTCGCCCCAATTCCACATGATATACAGGGAAAGGAAAAGACCACCGAGGGGATCTAAGTACCAAAGATTCGCAAATGTGCCGACTAACATTGTTGCAGGTTAGATCAAATATTTGGTATGAATGGTGGGGTAGCACACGGCAGATACTTACTTAACGGGAAAATGATACTGAAAGTATTGAATACAACGTCAGTCATGGCATCCTGAGCAAGAACCTGAACGCTTGGACTAGGGATCAAGCGACACCAAATCCAGCAGAGCAGTTTCACCAAGACAGTGCCGCCCATCAACACGAGAGATGGTAGGGAGAGTTTAACAACCGTGTGGTCATCGCCCATCAGCTGTTTGACGGAGGACAACGCGACCTGGAAAAAGGATGTTACCATGATCACTGAAAAGATCAGCACGCTGACGGGCTCGAGCCGTCGACGGCTGATCGGATACCTGTTGCGGTCTTGGCGGCGGATCATGATGGTGGTCACCCACACGATGACCGTGCTGAGAAAGTCCAAGATTCCATCTACTAGGCCTGCCAGCATGGACATGGAGTCCGTCATTGCCATAATGGCAATCTTGGAGGCTAGGAGGGCGACATTGGCGATGAAGTTGATACGGATGGCGATATTGATGATGCGCTCCTCATCATCAGGCGCCATACCACCGTGTGATTCGAGATCGGGGAATGGCTCTTGGCAGTTGTGACTTTCTTCCGGGGCAGAGACCAGAGGAGTTGTCTCATCGGGGATTCGATAGAGGTTATGAGGTGTGCGCTTGATTCTCCCAATTTTGGCATTGGCCTCCTCGGCATCGACATTATTGGCTTGAGGCTGCTCGGTCGGACTTTCGGGATGGGTTTCGTCATAGTCCTCAATCAAGTTATGAGGCAGCGAGGAGTCGAGCAAGCGATCAATGTAGAGGTATTGAGAGATGAGACCGTTGGTACGTTCGTAATATTGCCGGCTGTCTCGGGGTCAATCACAATCACCAGAAGAAAGGGGAAGCGCGTACATTTTCTTGGGAAGACCTTCCAAGGATTCTGGGGATCGATAGTAGCGCTGCCTATCGTTTCAATCAGGGTCAAGTCTGGGAGACATTTTGAGAGATGTAGCTACCACTCATAGCGAGGATTGCTGCGTCCAATCAAGAAGGATCCACGACGCAGAAATAGACGCTCTGATAGGTCATCATCCATATCATTGAGGGCTAAACTCGACGCGCGCGTAGGCAAAAAGTTCATCAAGCGCTGACCGCGAGTGGAGAGGATTTCGCGCTCGGGGTCCAGACTCGGTCGTCGAGGGCGTAAAGGCGAATCGGGAGAAGAGGATAGGGGGAGAAAAGGCGACGACATTGTAGCACAGCTGCACCACCTGGCAGGTAGCAAACAGCAAACAGCAAACAGCAAACAACGAAAGTTAGCGATCAAGGGAATCGGAGATTTATGCGGGTCACTGATTGATAAGTCATAAGCGCCGGGAACCTTGGGACCCGTTTGTCGCGTCTGTAAGCGCCCCTGAATTGTGCCTATTTCTACATTTACTTTGGTATACATACTTAAGTATAGGTTGGATTTCTTCGAAAGTTCTTCGGGGTATCCATGAGATGGATAGAATGTACAGTCTGACAGGAATCCGACCAGGTACTGTGCAAATTCGAAGTCCCAAGCTCAATGTCAACTTATTTAAGTACTTCCAAGGTTTGCTCCTGGGGGAATTCTTTATGCGCTAAGTGATTTCGAAATAACTTTATACGGTTGAGGTATCATTTTTCTAAATCTGAAGTACTTAAGTAGAACCACTAAAGTAAACTGGGGCAACATATATTTGGTACACGCTTTACCTGTGAATAGCCCGAAACGCGTACATACTGCGTGACTACTCCGTAATTCGTACTTTGTCACTACTATAGCAAACCAAGTGGGTATTCGAAACGCACTTGAGCCTTGCTTGCAGCGTGCCCTTGACCGAGATACCTTTTTGTGAACTGGCTGAGATTCCACAATATAGGGATACAATATCATCCCCGGGGCCTATTTATCTGACCACTTGATAACTTTAGAAGCTCTAAACCTGGAGGTTCTAAGTTTTACCCAAGTAGAATTGATCACAAATTGAGAACTCCCAAGCTAATGGAATTTACAACCAAGTCTGGAGTACTCCGTATTCGAGCGGGACTTTCGTTCCGCTCAATAGACAGCGGAGGGCGGAATGGGCATTCCGCGGTCCCCCGCCCTTTCCGGTGGAGCAGCCCGCTGTCGGCCCCCGGGGCCACAGCGGCAGCCACTGAAGCAGAACGGGTTTTGCTGATTCTCTGCATTCTGACTGGCCCTCCTCGCAACGATGTCACCGACCTACAGTCTCTCTCTCATAGGCCGAGTCCGAGGACTCGGAAATATACCGTGCAAGGGGCTGTGGAATATAAGTTTCGGTCGCCCGCACTCATGAAGCATTCAACTCTCACATCATGGCTGTTCAAACACTTGCAATCGCCGTGGTCACGGTAGTATACCTGATTATTCGCTATTTCAACCGCACCGATGTGCCAAAGATCAAGGGCCTTCCAGAGATTCCTGGGGTGCCTATTTTCGGCAACCTGTTGCAGCTAGGAGATCAGCATGCCACCGTGGCGGGGAAATGGGCGAAAAAGTTTGGCCCCGTCTTCCAAGTGCGCATGGGCAACAAGGTGAGTGGTTTCAACTCGAAATCAGAATGTAAGCTGATATTTACATTCACGTAGCGCATTGTTTTTGCCAACAGCTTTGACTCGGTGCGCCAACTGTGGATCAAGGATTCGTCCGCTTTGATCTCTCGTCCGACATTCCACACATTCCACAGCGTGGTCTCCAGCTCCCAAGGATTTACCATTGGAACATCGCCCTGGGATGATTCTTGCAAGCAGCGCCGCAAGGCTGCGGCCACTGCACTCAACCGACCGGCTGTGCAGTCGTATATGCCCATTATTGATCTCGAGTCCAACTCGAGTATCAAGGAGCTATACCGCGACAGCAAAAATGGCAAGCTCGACGTGAACCCGACCACCTATTTCCAGCGATTTGCCCTCAACACCAGTCTGACCCTCAACTACGGGTTCCGAATCGAGGGTAACGTCGATGACCAATTGTTGCATGAGATTGTGGACGTGGAGCGAGGAGTGTCGAACTTCCGCAGTACCTCGAACAACTGGCAGGACTATATCCCTCTGCTGCGAATCTTTCCCAAGATGAACAAGGAGGCCGAGGACTTCCGCGGTCGCCGGGACAAGTATCTCACCTACCTGCTCGATATGCTCAAGGATCGCATCGCCAAGGGAACCGATAAGCCTTGTATCACTGGAAATATTCTGAAAGACCCCGATGCCAAATTGAACGATGGTGAGTAATTCAGACACGAGAGAGTCGAGGGCCTCCAGAATTTGGTATTAATTTTTGCTTAGCCGAGGTGAAGTCCATTTGCCTGACAATGGTGTCCGCTGGACTTGATACTGTTCCAGGTAACTTGATCATGGGTATCGCATACTTGGCGTCAGAAGACGGTCAGCGGATCCAGAAAAAGGCATATGAGGAAATCATGGAGGTTTATCCGGATGGCGATGCCTGGGAAAAGTGTTTGGTGGAAGAGAAGGTTCCTTATGTGACCGCCCTGGTCAAGGAAATCCTTCGATTCTGGACGGTGATCCCTATCTGTTTGCCCCGTGAGAGCACCAAGGATATTCAATGGAATGGAGCGACCATTCCCGCCGGGACCACTTTCTTTATGGTACGAAACCCCTTTCCTGCTACCCCAATAGAGCTTTTACTTACGATCTATAGAACGCCTGGGCGGCGGACTACGATGAGGATCATTTCAAAGATGCTGACAAGTTCATCCCCGAGCGGTATCTGGAGCTGGGCGAAGGCTCGGGCACTCCTCATTACGGCTATGGAGCGGGTTCTCGCATGTGTGCGGGCTCCCACCTAGCAAACCGAGAGCTGTTCACGGCATTCATCCGCCTGATCACTGCATTCCATATGCACACTGCGAAAGAAGTCGCTGATCGACCCATTCTCAATGCCATTGATTGCAATGCTATTGCAACAGCGTTGACCACCGAGCCGAAGCCCTTCAAGGTTGGGTTCACCGCGCGGGATCCCAAGAAGCTTGAGCAATGGATTGCCGAGAGCGATGAGCGCACCAAGGATCTTTAAGTGCCCATATTTTTTTCTTTCTCTCTGTCATTTTTTCTACTCCAGACATGTTTGATGTGTATGCTTGTTTTACTCGAGGCTTCTGTATACCTCCAAAAGCCACCACGAAGCGGATTTAGATGATTACGAAGACTCGAATGACTCGAATGAAAACCAGTCGGCCTAGGACTGGATGGTGGCCATTCCGAATGATCAGACCGATGCGTAGTATATGAGAACTTTAGAATATACCCATGTGTTCACTGATTTCACGAAGCTTTCTCCCCAGGGTACTGAGCCAATGGCCATTGGCCAATGAACTCTAGGGCTGCAATCAAATAATTGGCCAGTTCAATAGCATAATCCAGCTTTAGAAAGAATACTAGTGGACAGTTCTGTACGAGCAATAGCCACACCCATGGGATATACGTCGTGATGCCTTGTCCCAAATTGCCTAATTCGGCAGTATGACGAAGTGGAGTAGAAGGCGGAAACCCCCCGCATCCGCTCGCCTCCACACTTCCCCTTCATTTCCCTCTTCCACTCCCCTGCAGCCCATTACGCATATCAACATGAGTGCCCTGCCCGATTTCTCACAGCATTGGGACAAGCCACCATCGGGGGATGAAGCCCCTGATGGTCGCCCGCGGAAGAAACGCCGTAAATATATTGCGAAAGCATGGTCAGTCTATGAATGAACAAAAACATGGTGCTCTCTCGCTGAAACTGCAAAGCAATGAATGCAAGCGCCGCAAGATTAAATGTAATGGCCAGACGCCCTGTGGGCGTTGTGGGCGCCAGGACATTGAATGCATTTACGTGGAGAACGCGAATTGTGACCTCCCAAACGAACAAGAGTATGAACCTTCTATCCAGTGAAAAGTCATAACTAATCAGATGAACAGGAACTTTGAACGCCTTTTCGATCAGATGAAAGCCATGCAGGACCAAATCACTATGTTGTCTGCGAGTGTTCGATCAATCGCCAGCGCGGAGCAGTCGCCAGTTGGCCTTTCCACCACGGGCAGCCATGGTCTTCTCCCTGCCCAGCGCTCGGTTCGACGCGTGTCCACAGTGAAAGAGACACCATTTCAGGGACCAACGACGTCGGCATTTAGTTTTGACCTCGCTAAATCTAGTCTGCAGCAGCGTGGGATCGTCGAACGAATGGAGGTTGGTGACGAGGGGGATATGACCCAAGAACCTTCACCATTGGCATCTCCATCGGCGCGAAATGGATCAGTGGATACACAACATACACTTGATCCTCTATGGGCTCTCCCGAAAGCTGAGGCGCTCCGTCTTTGTAGTGTATATGAGGAGGAAATGGGAATCATGTACCCAGTGTTGGAGTTGCCGGAGCTCTTGGAACAGGTTGAACTACTGTATAATCCAAAGGACCGCACACTTGGATCAAGCCTTCAGTCGGATGGCAGGCGTGAGCTGGACCGAGAAGACGTTCATATCCTACGCTTGGTATTTGCTTGTGCGTTGACAGCGGAAGGCAACGGTCGGAGTGACCAGGCCATCTCTTTGTTTGACAGCGTTCGAGAAGTCCAAGACGACTGTGTTTGGGGCCCGCCCGAGATTAAGAGCATCATCTTCTTAACACTGGTGGTTTGTTTTCACCGAGCATATTTGGAATGCCGACTGTGCTAACTGAACCGATAGTCCATCTTCTACTTTCAGAATGACGAGGAGACATTGGCATGGCGCACTATTGGTATAGTTGAACGCATGTGTCTTGAAAAAGGTCTTCACCGTCGAGAGTCTTTGAACCAACCCGCGATCGTGGCCGCAGGCAGGGAAAAAGCGCTGCGACTGTTTTGGTCCATATACATTTTGGATATGCGCTGGAGCTTTGGAACTGGCATGCCGTTTGCTTTAGAAGATACAGACATCGATCCCTGGCTTCCAGAGCCCGCAGAAAAGACCCCATACCTGCGTGTCATGATCAGATACAGCCGCATTGCGGCGAAAGTATGGAAATTTATTTCAGCTTTCAACAACACGAACGAGATCAGAAAAGATGAGATGAATTATCTGGATTGGCAAGTATTGCGCTGGGCCAATGCAATTCCAGATCCATTGCGACTTGAAACTTCCAAAACAATGGAGCCTGGGACTTCTACCGATGAATCACGAAGCCTACGGCGCCTACGAGCTCTACTTTACCTCCGCGCAAATCAGCTCCGCATGTTGATCCATCGCCCTGTACTCCATACGGCAGCACATATCATGCGGTACCCTGGTGAATCAGAAACCGTGGTAGAGCTAGCGAAAGACACGATTCGTTTCATCACCCGCTTGAACGATACATCCGACATTTATCAGCTGCAGCAGGTTGCCTTTAATTGGTTCCTGGTTTCGGCTTTGGCCGTGTTGTTTTTGGCTGTTGCACAGGCCCCAACGCAATTCAGTGGATCTTGCAAAGAGGAGTTTTTCTGGGCGCTGGAGTTGGTGAAGGGGTTCTCCGCCCAATCATATATCTCACGCCGGCTGTGGAAATCCATTAGAAGTCTGCGAAAGCTCGGTCCTCAACTCGGTCTAGGCGCCCAGAAGAAGCGCCTTGACGACCACACTGGAGTCGACCATGGCAAACCCGATTCGAACGCTTCACCAGCTCTTGCCCCAACCGCCAGTACCCAGAGCCACACCCCACAGGATGGTGCTCAAATGACACAGGAGCTGATGGAGTGGTTTGAGGCAGTAGGAAACCTTGAAGATCAAATATTGGGGATGGGAGCCGGTCCAGTGCCGGAAGGAGGTCCGTACCAGCAGATGCCCAATGGGGGCTTTGTTTTTGACTACGGCGAAGAGCTGTCAAGTGTGATGAAAGACTGCTTCTAATGTGTTCAATTGAAAGTAAAGTTAAAATGATCTGGATGAAGCGCTTCTGGGAGGGGGGGGGGGGGGGGGGGGGGGGGGGAAAAAAAAAAAAAAAAAAAAAACCAAGGTGAACCAAATATTGACTACAAGTAGGGAATTTGGGGGGGGAAAAAAAAAAAGAAAAAATAATTCAA